CCCCCCCCCCCCCCCAAGGGGGGCCCCCTGAAAATTTTAGGGGGGCCAAAAAGTAGCTCCATTTGACCTAGGTATACCCCCCAAGTTTCAAATCTTTACCTCAATTCGGTAAAAAGTTAGAGGGGGTGGAAGGGACTTTTGGATCACCCTGTATAGTCGCATCGCATTTCTGCCGTCCTGACGATGACCGCCGTAATGAGCCCGCAGACGTTGCCTTTCTGTTGTCAAAATATACATTTTCAGAATAATTTCGAATGCTTTTCTTCCAATTTTTCGGAGATATTTCTTCGCCATTCGTTTCTTAAGCGTCGCACTGGTTACCGGTGGCGAGGCGTAAATGATCGATTATTGATATTTCTCCATTTAAAGCCACGGTGAAGAATTGATTGTTATGGTGTTCGTTGGGAACACCCTGTTTATCGATCATTTTCCATAGGTTTAAATGGCAGATCAATCGATACATCGCAAAGCACGCCACGCCACTGCCGGTTACTGGACCCACAGTGTTTTCATTCATACCTCGTTTTTTCTTTGGTGTGTGTCAGTGACTTAAAATTAATTCAGAAATTTGATGATTTGTAGATTGTATCTGCTAATGGACGAAAACGCGCCTCCATTCTCGCTGTACAACAAATTCTACCTGGAGCAAGTTAGAAGGGATCTAGCCGTGAATGTGCTGAAAAACGGGAAATGGGGCAGTTATCGTAGCAGACCAATTTTGAGAACAGCGCATCCTGACCTAGCACAACTCCCTCCCCTCGTCAACTATGCCTCGACGATGTTGTCAAACGATATCGATATTCATTATGTTGGACTGAATCCAGCGAGCTCTGAGCTCAGGAGCGAGGTAAGATGTCAACAACCATCATTGGCGGATCCAACGAATTGGTAACATTGTCTTCTACCCATTTAAACATATGGAAATGTATCGATTCTTGTGGGGCTAGGTGCCCCGACAAGAATCGATTATTTAACATAGGTTTAAATGGAGGAGATCCGATGTTGCTAAATTTATGGCTCTGCGTCTGACAACCGTTGGTCGCAAAAACCATTTATCATTTTCGAGCATCTATACATTTTTGTCAGACGAAGTCTGCAATCAGGAGTTTTCCATGAAATTGTGATGAAAGGAGGGAGACCGGTAAGTACAAAAATTCTTAAAATGGAGGGAATGAATTTTTTTTTGAAGGAAAGTTTCAGGGCATGCACTCAAAAAAAAAACTACGGCCCTGTGACCCGGTTGCTCTGGACACTGGTGATCCCGGCGTTAACGCGCTGTGCGCCAGCTAGTACTGGACCCAGCGGCCGGTGTCCCGTGGACCCCGCGCGGCCTTCATGGCCGTAAGACCGGTTAGGAGCCGAGCGTAAGTTACGGGTTTCAGGATCGGAGCCAACCGCTTCCACGGCCGTTGGCAGTGAGGTGAGATTCAGTTTTCGGAAAATGGCGTCACCATCAGATTAAAATTGAGACGGCTACGTGTATATTCGCAGAAAATCATAATATTTTACGTCAATGTTATTCAGTGCGTGAATTTAAAGTTGCCGCCAGCCTTGAACATTTTCGGGAGCGATCGCAGCCACCACTCAGCGTTGTTTATTGAGGTTAGAATCTAGTAAATTGCTTGTCATTGTTGGTCATTGCTCATTACGTGTGTTCGTTTTTCGTTTAATTTTGGAGGTTTTCGATATATTTTCTTGATTCTGTGCGGTGCACGATTGATTCTAAAGTTCTGTGTGATAACGCTTGTCAAATACTTTCGGAAATGCGACGAGAGTTAAGTGAAAATTGTCAGTTTTACCTACACACTGAGCTCATATCCTCTCCTCCTGTAAGTTCGTTTGCAATTCACTTATTTTCCCCCTACTGAGGGAAAGAACTTAAATCCAAGAAAAGCAATCAATTACCTGCCACGCATCTTCCCACAGAGTAAATTACCGCCACACTAAAATACTGATAATGTAGACACAAGAATGTCTATTTACCGATTGCAACTTCATTGTGCCACCTTTGCTTGCTCATAAGATTGGGTTGATTTTTTATTCCATTTCAATCTAATCTCTGGCTTATACTTAAATGTTTTCAATTGAGAGTAGGTAGTATTTCACTCTCCGACATCCAACACCTCCCTTCTCTGTTGCCAAAATAGCTGTCCGCCAGCGGAAGCTATAAGCCAATCTTGCCTGCGTTGATTATCCGATAAGAGCCAGTGCAAACATTGTTGCTGTGAATATCTCTCTGATTCCATATCCCAATTCTAGGGAGCTCAGTGTACTGTAATAGTGGTAAAATTTTGTGTGAATCGCGCTTCAGTTTGCTGAAGGGAAGATCTACAATTATAACAAGTGTGACAATTTTCGGTGGTATATTTCTTCGCTAATATTTTGTGGAAATTGTATCCGGTAGTTATTGCGGAGAGTTATATCTTGAAGTTTTGTCAACTTTTACTACTGAATTTACACTTTGAAATATTCTCAACCTCATTTTCAAGATTCTGAAGCTTTTCTAGTCATAAGGAGTAAAAATCTGTAAGTACCTAGACCTACGCCTGTGCTTTTCCTTTGTTAATCATTTGGGTGATTTCCTACTTTGCATTCGTATTTTTTATTGAGGGATGAACCAGGTTTTGTTTTTGACAAATGCTGAATTCTCATTGAGTGAAAGTAATTACATTTATTGAGAACGGGCTGCCAAGTGATAAAAATGATTTTTCAATTTACATTTTTCGCTGCAATGAGTTTTAGCAATTTATCATACCTTGGACAGTCTGTTCTACATTTAAAATAGGTAGCATGAATTTTTGATCTATCTACATTTGTTCCTTCCAGTGCTTCCCCAGTGCTTTATTTATTTCTACGAAGGCTTGCAACATTAAAGTTAGGTTTTTGAAAATTTCTTGATATCTCTACACGATGAATAAGCTAACATTCATATGCTGATTTTCTTTCTCAATAAGCATCATCTCTTCTCTAAGATTCATCTCTTTTCTCAAATTGACTTGCTGAACTATCAGCCTAGGAGTTCAAATCTCTCTTGATATCTGAAACATGATCAACAAGCTAACGTTCATATGCTCTTTTTCTTTCTTAGACATTGAATTATCCATCACTTTCCTGAAACTAAATTGTTATGAACTATCAACAAAGAAATATATACCTATTTTAAAAAGAAGGAAAGAAAAAAAATCTTGTTCAGAAATTGACACAAGATAATTCACTCAATGTTTAAAACTTTGCTGGAAAGTTTTTCTTTTCTAAGTATGTACTTTAATGGTGAATTTTCAGCTGTAGTTCCGAAAAAATCCACCACGTCGCGGACAGCGGCGGCGCGCAGAGCTCCGGCCGTCCAGCCCGTAAGTAGCGCCTAGAGCGCAAGCTGCCTATGCCGCTCGAGGCCGCGACTTACGGTTTTCATGTCCGTAGGACTCCGCATCGTCCCCGCACGTAGCAATCCGGCCGTCAGGCGCGTAGGCGAACGGTAGTGCCATATAGCCCATCCAGTCCGTGCTCCAGGTCCGCTGCTTATGGCCTCCACGGCCGGAGCTTTTTTTGAGTGTGAGAGGAGGGACAAGGGGCTTAAAAATCCCTCATGTTGAACTAGGTAAAAATTATGTGTGTATATGAATATGCAAGTTTTTGATGTCGATGGCTAACGAACAATAGTGCCTATTTGCAAACGGACAAATTTGCGGGCAGAAAATTTCGTCATTTTTGCGATTTTGAGATGAACTCTTCAATTTTTTCATACATTAAATCGTCGGTAGCACTCCCCTACAGAATTGGAAAACAACTGAAATCATTAGCTTACTTATTTTATGCTATAGAATGCGGCAAAGTCACCAACCCATTTTTGTCAACATTTTCAGTCAGGCGGTGTTATTTGGTAGCCATCGATATGCAAAATGGTGCTCGTGTATTTTTTGAACTTATCATAATCATTCATTTTAATCACGAGAAAACTGAAGTGCAGCCTTGCACTGAAATTTAAAACGTTTTTAATTTTTAATTTAAGTAATTTTGTGGACGGAAAATTAAGAGACATAACTGGAATAGGTTTGTGTCATTGGTTCATTTTCTCATGACTGGGTCAACTTAACGACAAACTATTTCTGTATTCTGTGACAGCTTTTATTGTCCTGGATAAGCAATCGAATGTTGCACCTCAAATCGCTAAGGACTACTTCCTAAATGTGGAAACTGTTGATTGTGAGGCGTGTTCTTTCATAAAAAATTCACGTAAAATAGAGTAATTACACTAAAAAATTTCCACCCCGACTACCCAGGGAAACAAATCAAACTCTACACCAATCGAATCATATTCTTCCGAAGAGTGACTCGCCGACAATGGATACTGTAACCGAGCAAAATTTCGATACCATATTTTTTGCATTAATTTTTAATAGGAAAAACCAGATGTGTTGGATTACTCTGGGGTCACGTCGCTCGGAAGACATGTAATTGGCCTTGCGTACAAGAACAAAGGATTCAACCAAAAAATTCGGCTGGATCCTATTTTCCAGTGGAGGGTCCCAACAAGTTTCCCCTTGCCCGAGGCAGCCGCCCTCCCATCTGCCTATCTTATGGTTTGTTTGTACACATTCAGTCTTTAGTAACACTTGTTTTCTATACAAGTAAATTGGACAACAATTTAAAGTGAATATTCAGCAATTTTGAGAACGATTCTCTTGTCAAATCTAGTGTACGAATATTTGATGAACTTCAGCGTGACTCGACCTTCCGGATTTTTTGGAAAAATCACTGGAAAAAAAACCACATTGGATATAGAGTCCAGACTTTTAAAAACATTGCCATAAAAAATACTCTTGCTTCAATCAGATTTAAGCTTGAATCAAGAACCAAGCTTCTTAATTTGAGCGGATTTCCTTTTAATTTAAGCTTAAATCTGATTGGATCAAGAGTCCTTTTTCTCGTCAATGTTTTCAAGAGTCTGGACTCTAGATCCAATGTGTTTTTTTTTTCCAGTGAGGTTCGAAAATTAAGGAATTAATCGAGCTACTGTCGAATCGTTCTCCAAAGTCCTGTAGAATAACTTTAACGATTCGGATGAATCAATTTATAGCTGCATTTATCTTTGCAGATCCAAAGACTTTTTTTGTGTTAGTTTGATGAAGGCAATTCGAAGTATAGTTTCCTCTAAAGACCATTTTTGATATGCGATTTTAAGGTTCCAATGAAAGATAGCACCTTAGAAAACTTGATAATCAACATAGCATTGTCAACTTATTTTGTCAATTCATTCCAGCACTCACAAACAAGCGCTGAGTCTTATTTTCTACCTAAATAAACACAATAAAAATGAAATGTGAAGGTATTTTTTTAGATCTGACTTTTGCACGGCATTCTTAACTAGGACAGTATATAGCAAATTTTTCACTTGCACAAGTTGATTCTTTTTCAACTTATGGAGTTTCGGGTCCGCCTCTTTGTTTTTGTCTATGGAATTGAATGCAAGACTTTAATACCTAATTAAGTTTTCGTTTCATTAATCTAGGCGCATTTTATCATAGATAAAATTCTCAAAGACAAAGATACACTCACGAAAACAGCTTTTATACTAAACGGTCAGGCACCAATTGGGATGGTTTGCATATCCTTATTACTGAATACAAACTGGAATGTGTACGTGACTGTTCCAAATGAGGCCGCACAACAACTTGTGACAACGGTTTATCCTCAGGTATGAAAGATCTTCATATAATATTAACATTTATGCTGTTGTTGGTCCATACATTTATTTTGGTATTTTAGCAAAGCTAGGCCATTAACACCTAGAGCAGAGATCACAAAAAGAGAAGTACAAAACATTGAAAGAAAGGATAAAGAAAAAATCAATTAAATTCGGAGATTAATTTGTTCGAAAAAGGGAGAGACTTGATGGGATAATTTTGAAAGTATGATATTGAGATCAGAAAGAAGCGGGAAAGTTTTGTATCTTAGTTGTTGGTAGGTAGGTTAAGATATTAAAACATGTCTGACTGAGAGGGGGACATTACAAGAGGGGAAAGTTGGAGGGGGACTCTCTTAATTAAACATTGGTGGGTGAAGGAAATGTGTCCAATGCACCGCACGTTTAGCTTTACTTGATCTCGTTGCTTGATCTACACATCCTTTTCTAACGAACCTTCATTTATTAGTAATATAGAAGGAGAGGTAGAATAATATAATTTCGAACTCAATTCGAGGTCTTGCGCTCCGAAATTATAACCACAGTATAAATAATTAGAAAAACGCACCTTGCGTGCTATTATAGTGAATAAGAATGTGTGTAACACGCTAGGTTCAGGTTTTTTAAAATTTATTACATACTTTGAATGCATTTCGGGTTTAGGTAGGGAGCCCATTTTCAGCAAGATTCAAAACAAAACACATAGATTGAAACAAATAATTATCACAATGCATACTTAGTCGGTAAAAATGTGTAAAAAGCTAATTAGTAACAAGCAGTAAATAGGAAACAAGAAACCAGACGTATACAGACAAATAAACCTAGCGTGTTTTGGTGTACACACATTCTCATTTACAAAATAAATCCTGCTTTTTTCTCTGAATAAAAACGTGCTTAAAATCACTTTCTAGCTCCTCAAATCAAACATTACGAACCACAACAACGAGGACTTTTACGTGCCGCTGATGTTTGGAACCAACGGAGTTGGTCCCGATATAATAGTGAGCGATGCCCCTCGGAAACAGATGCTTGCCGCTTGGACTTGCATCGGCGAACATGGTAGTTTCGTCAACCTTAACGAAGAGACGATGCAACACAATGCCCCTCTCCCGATGGGCAGGTTTAGGAAGGATAGCGGCTACTACGGCCTCAAGTTTTCCCAACTGGTGCACTTACCGAAAGAACGGAAAGTTCAGCTCCATGCACTTGTAAATGAAACGATCTCTTCAGGGCAGTTGGTTCATATTCCACACCAATTAGTGGACACCCATGATCTGAGCAAGTTATCCAGGTATGTTAATGAGAATAAGGATGGTGAAGTTCAAGTATTTTTTAAGGGACTCCAGACGACTATGAACTTTGTTAATTTTATACTATAATGGCTAAAAATGGGGTTTGACTGTGTATACACAGTCAACCCCGCATCTCTTCATGATTATAATCAATTCTTACGGTGTTAATCGAAACGTGCTTCACACCAAATGTACATTTGGACCACGTCAAGCAGAAAGGAACCAAGCCACATCAGCTATTGCCAAATTTAATTGGGCGCTTAAATTTTTTACATGGAACGGTTGTGCCAATTTTTGTTCAAATTTCAGTGAATTTTCTGCACAGTGTGAAGAAAATTCCTTAAAATTTTCAAAAGAATCCGCACAAACGTTCTCTTGCAAAAAATTAATATGCCTCGTTAAATTTGGCAATAGCTGATGTGGCTTGGTTCCTTTCTGTTAAACGCAGTCCAATTGATGGCATCTTTCAAAAGTACGAGGTTCCCTCGCAAATTAAATCGACGACAAATGAGAGCGGTAGTCGAAAAACTTACTAAGTCCTAGTATCTGTCGTCAATAACGTTCAGCGTGCTTTTTGAACATCTTCAGAGGATAAAATGACTTCATTGAAGCAAAAATATGCTCAAATTTATCGCCGAGAAGATTTCTTTTATGAATCAGTAAAGAAAGTAACGCTTGTTTAAAGAAGAAAAGATGCTCATATAAAAAGAAAAGTCACTTACATCAAGCAGAAACCCGCTCTCATTCAGCTATTTTATTCTTGATTCAAAATACAACCTTCTTGACGGCGTACTCAACAATTTTTCCGCCTAAATCGAGTCATTATTTTCTTTGATAAAATTCAAAAATTATGCTAAATGTCATTAAATACGGATGCTAGGACTTGGTGAGTTTTTGGAGTATCACTCTCTTTTTGTGCCGTAGTATCTTGATTTAGTTTGCGAGGAGAGCTCCGTACTCTTAAATGGTGCCTGTCATTCTTAATAAGTTGGAGCGCCTTCAATTTCGTATGATACTGTGCAACACCTCTGTTGCGAAATAGTTGCTTGAAGCGCCGTGGCACGCGGCGGCGGCGCGGCGCGGCGGGAGAGGGCGACCAGCGCGACACGCGCATTGGCGCCTACAAACCTAACAGGGATACTTCACGCGTTGCGCAATGCGTGAAGTATCCCTGTTAGGTTTGTAGGCACCAATGCGCGTGTCGCGCTGGCAGCACACCGCTCCGCTCTGTGTTTAGCTCTAATATCTGAACTCGCGGAGTCCGCGTTTTTCAACTCATGATTTTGAAATGTTTGCACTTTCTAAATTAATTATTCTGATTTAAATTGATGGGGGAAAAAGTGCGCGTTTCGCGCTGCTAACACGCCGCTCCGCTCTGTATTAGGTTCTAATATTTACACTCACGGAGTTAGCGTTTTTCAACCCAAGATTTTGAAATGTTTACTCGCTCTGCATGGTTTATTCTCATTTCAATTGATGGGAGAGGGGATATGTATTAAAGAAAAATAAAATGTGTATTTTGTGAATATTAAGGTGACTCCGTGTCAACTTTAGTGATTTTCATAGCACCTTAATTTTTTCAAATCCCTATCTCTTCATGATTATAATCACTTCTAACGGTGTTAATCCAAACGTGCTTCACACCAAATGTACATTTGGACCATTTCAAGCAGAAAGGAACCAAGCCACATCAGCTGTTGCCAAATTTAATTTGGCACTAAAATTTTTTACATGGAACGGTTGTACCAATTTTTGTTCAACTTTCAGAGACTTTTCTGCACAGTGCGAAGCAAATTCCTTACAATTTTTAAAGGAACCCGTATAAACATTTATTTGTAAATGATTAAACTGTCCAGTTAAATTTAGCAATAACTGATGTGGCTTGGTTTCTTTCTGCTAATCGTGGTCCAAATGTACCTTCTGTGGAAAGCACGCTCCGATTTAGGAACTATAACTTCTGGCTCATCCGTAATAATACTTATGTTCACAGAGAAAATAATGGTATGTACGTTGTTTCTATAGCCCGAGCGAGAAATTTTAGTCCCTAATTTGAAAATGTAGTCCAATTGCGAATGTGATTCTCTGGAAAATCCAAAGAAAAAATACTCAAGTTTTTTGGGAAATCCATATTTTGTAAATGTCTGGATTGACAAAGTTTTTAAATTTATACACCGTTTCGTCCTCACAGGGCAAAACGACAGTGCTCTCCTTACCTTTTAAAATCTTATACATTTTTGAGATATCGTGACCTTCCGGCCAAAGTATCACAAACGCTATGTATGACGTTTTAAAATTTCCGCCGCTACTTCCTTTTTTTCCCCAGATAAATTTTTCAAAGAAGCTATCCGAAAATTTCACCAAATATTCTTCGTGCTGCCGATAAAATTCAGTAAAATTTTCAAACAGATTCAACTGACAATCTCTCTGTAGAAAAATAAAATGGCGGCGGCAATTTTGAAACGCTGCATGGCGCTTGCGATACTTTGGCCGAAAGGTGACGATATCTCTTTAAAACTTCTAAATGAAGGGTTTCCTTTGATATCGGGATACTTTTTTCTAGTAACTGATCAATGTTTATTTTCAGGTCTGTTGAGCTTACCACGGAGCATGGTAAAAAGTTACTACTAGACGTGGGGAAAAAGTATAGAGCTAGGCAGCCTGAGAAACTAACACGAGAGGAATTAAGCAAGTTCGATGCGCCTGGCGAATGGATTGCAAATGGAGACTCCGCACGCACTTTTATAGTCCTAGGTGAGATCTTCCAAAATGACAAGTAGTGATGATAGGAATACTGATCTAGATTTGCATTTTGTTATTCTCACCACAAATTAAATAATATTAGCCTCTCAGTGAGCAAGCTCCCTCCCCATTTATTGAATACAGTTCGACTCCTTCGTGATTTTCATTTTTATTCAACTGATAATTCCCAATGAGAACAACGATGAAAAAAATGGTAGGCTGTTTTAGCACCTACGATGTCAAAAATGTGTCTGGTAATCCTAAGATGCTACCTTGATTGTCCACCCAGTTGTTTTTTCATTCACATGATGTAAATTTAACTGCGGGGACACTAAAGGCAGCATCTTGGGATCACCAGACATATTTTCGACATCCCGGGTGCTGAAACAGCATATTATTTTTTTCAGTGAAGATAAGAACTTACGACGTTTTAGTCAAAAGTATTCTTACATATGGATGCGAAACTTGGCAGCTGAAGAGACGGCCACAGGGTATGATGGAATGAGGGCGATGATGGATTTCTGGCGGAAGTCGGCAGGAATTTTTGGGAGAGATCGGGTCTGCAATGAAAGAGTGCGTCAGATAATGCACTGAAAAAAAAAACTCTGCTGGCCGTGGGAGCCGCAATTACAGGCTATATAGACATACCGTTCGTTCTGGGCTCAAAGGCCGGTAATTTCGGCTGCTGGAGGCGTAGCTTCGGCCTCTGAACCCATAGCAATCGAAGCTACGCCTCCAGCAGCCGGAATTTTCGGCCTTTGAGCCCGGAACGGACGGTATGTCTATATAGCCCGTAATTGCGGCTCCCACGGTCGGAGTTTTTTTTTCAGTGTGGGATTCGGAAATGACATCTTATGTCATGACCGAACACCTTGTCTGGTATGGTCATGGTCGTGTTAACAAGATGACGGAGGAAAAGCTGCCGAAGAAGGTGCTTGATTTGGTTTTTCCTGGGAACGAAGGGGACGTCCAGTGAAAGAGTGGCGATAGGGGGTTTTAGAGGCAATAGGGGAGCACCAACTTTCCGAAGGGTTTTAGGAGGATAGGGAACTTTAGCGGCTATTTGTTGCAGAGCGCCTCTCTCTGTGTATGTGTATATAAGCCGTTTTTACAGCGCTCTCTGGTGCTCTGCGACCCCTAACCGCCACCGTACTCAATCCTTCCACAACCCGTCAGGGAGCTAGCATTCCCTCATCTCATTTAAAACCCCCGACGGACAGCGGTTTTTTTTACAAGTGCTAATTTTTCAGAAGTCGTAAAATGCTTTCCGTTTTGGTTTCAGCTTCAACCATAAGTAAAGTTCCGAATATTATCGACTGGTTGCTGAGCCGTGGTGTCAAAAAAGTCATCCTCGGAACACTAGATTCAAGAGATTGTTCTGATGTAGTCCGGAGGATCAACAGTTCCACAGCAAAACACGAAGCCACTCTTCTAATGATGTCAATAAACCCAGCTCTGATAGCTGAAGGGTTGCAGAAACTGCTGAACCAAGCGAGAAAAATGGGAGAAATTGCAACCATTTTCACTGTTTCACTAGTAAGTTTGATCCACTAGTTTAACTGGGCTTACTGCTGTGCTAAGGAAGAATGCTGTATGAGCCTTCAGGCGTTGCCAAATCTCATTCGATAAATTACGAATTACCGGGAAAATTTATAATTATTTTTTTTCTGATAATTTTTTTTCTTTTACATTTTGTTTGTAATTTGATCTAAAGTGACTAAAAATATCAAGGAAAAATATACATAAAATTCTTCAAAAATAAATATTTTCTAAGAGGTGATTTGGCAACATTTGAATACTCATACGGCACGAAAGCTTAACCTACCAGTGAAGCGGGTATTAATAATGCACACTACACACCTCAACGCATTGTTTAACAACGTAAGACTGTCGTGCGGTTTGCAGATGAATTTAGTGCTGAAAATTATGTAGGGCAGCTATTCTCACGAGTTCCGATTCATTACCGTTGTCAAAATTCAAGACGATAATTCCAATCGAACATTTGGAAGAGGAGTCCACAGCTGCAACTGGAAGCTTTAAAAAAATGAAAAAAAAACTCATTTATTGATTCACATAACACGCTTCTTTGCCACTGATCTCCGTTGATTCCGTACTAGGACACCTGGTATAAATATTTTTAGATTAATCTTGAAATCAGCATCGGTATTATGAACATCGTAATAAGATATTGATATTTGTAATATCTCATAAGTATAGAGGTAACCTACTAGTTTCACTTCTATTGCTCTCAGGATGAACACGTTGATATCTTGGAAAGCATCGAAGAGGTGACCCAAAAATTGGAAACGAACGTTATCAACATACAAGGAGAGACCAGTACCTTCAAATCCGATAGAATGATTACGATTATTTGCGAGGGAGATGTAGACTGCACTCATGTTCTCAGCCAAGCTATGACAGACCCTGACAAGTCAGCCTCTTATGTTGTTTCTGACCAGACGCAATGCGGAAAGGATGCGAGTAAGTATGAAAACATGGTATTTGCATACAACCTTACACTCTTTAATAAACACGCTGACGAGTAATGGAGATCTTCGTATAGAAGACTCATATCAACGTCTGATCAAACTCTCAGCACATCTTAAAGTGTTTCATTTGATGTATTTAAATCAAAAGGAACTATATACATTCTGACATGAGCCCTAAGATCCATAAAAATACATGCATGACAAAGCTCATGTCAAAATGGATATAATTTCTTTTGATTTAAATAAGTACATTTCAAAGTTTGCTGCGAAGTTGCTTCAAAGGATTATGGAACGTTCTCTGTTGATTTAAAGCAAGGTTTTCCAGGGTTTTTACCCTCGATGTATCTGATAGCCCGAAAAATGGAAGAACTTGAGAAAAGCCATCGAAAAGTATACAATTTTACAAATCCAAAGTTAGACCACCCAACATATTGAAAACGCCGCGCCGGTAAAACTATTAGCGCCGTTTGTTTCAGCTTTATCATCGCGGCTATGATTTTACATAAATTTGCATCGCTTGATATGTCACTTGGGGCGAAAATTTATAATTAGGGTATAGCAACTAACATCTTAATAATCGATTCTTTACCATAGCTTCAAATGGGGAAATATTGATGAGGGAGGTTCTATAAATTACGAAATACACTTTTCCGGCATTTTCGACCCCTCTTCCCCCTTGTAATGGTTTTGTGGCGTAGGTCCTTATCCACTAACGCGTAAAAACAAAAAGGCGTAACGATCTACCCGGCCTTCCCTCGATCATAGAGTGATAGGTATGTAATTTATGGATGGCCCCTGTCCCTATTCGATCATTCACGCTTCGCCACTGAACTCCAGAGGCGGATCCAGCAATATGAAAACACTGAATTCTTCCATTTAAACCTATGGTAAATAATCGATTCTTGTCGGAGCACCTGGCCCCTCCAAGAATCAATCCATTCCCATAGCTTTAAATGTAGGAAATCTGGTGTTGCCAAATTTCTGAATCCGCCAATGCTGGGCTCCCTGCTAAAAACCAAGTAAAATAATTTGAAACTGAGAATGAGTCAAAATTTGTTCCATTTTTCAGACACGGACGCAGAAGAATTGATAACACATTACTTGCCGTCATCCTTGCAAGAGTTGGAGGCTTTGGGAGAATCATTATGTTTAAAAGACTTGGAATGTGATAATAAAACTTCAGCCGAGTTTTTCTATACCCCCTCGTTGGCCCCAGTGACGTCACTGGAGGTAGAAGACGTTTTCCCTATTTTTATAATTCCTGCTTTATGCGAGACGGAACTCAGGCCGTTAACGTCCAGACTGATTTACCCCTGCTACGTGGCGCACGTGAAGCCTAACGGATCATCTATCGAACAGATTGCCCTGGATCTTTTAAAAGTAAGCGTCTCTTTGATTTTTCTGATCATTTTAATCCATGCATAATGATACCCCAAGATTTCATTGAGCAAATATGGTTCGTGTAAGAAGATGAGGCTCACCAGGAGCCTTGCATTGAAGAGCTCCACTCTTTAGGATGGCCCTAGATAATTTAAATTTTGACTAGGGAATGCTTCAAGAAAAAAATACAAATCAACTTAATCAGCCAAAATTCACATAATAAAATAACAACTTAATTTGGGGAAAAGGCATTTATTTTTATTTTTCAGGTTGAAAATGGAAGTTTTAATATCCTGAAACGTTCCGAATTTTTTGTTTATCCTTTGTTGCCGTCAAGAAAGTTTGTGAATGCACGATGAAACGATATATTTTCCGGATCTCAAATAAAAATTTAAGCCAATTACGTTGGGAATGGATCATTTCAAATGAATGCAATTATTTATCACTACAAAATGCAATGTATAAAAGAAAATAATTCTTTTGGCTACGTGGGGAATAAGCTCCGTATTTATAATATTTCCTTTGGGTCCTAACCCACATCATAGTAAGGCCCCGTGGCCCCATGATATACGACGGTCATACAAAAAGTAAGGTTCCCTACCTTGTATCAACCGAACAAAAAAAGATAAATCAAGTCGGTAAAAATGTCTTGTTAGACATGCTCTAAGCTTTAAAACAAGCTCAGGTTTTTGAAAATCGGTCAAAGGATTTGCAAGAAAACTCAATTTTACTGCGAGAACTTCCTGTCCCCTAGTATGCCCACCTCCCGAGTCTGATGAAATAATCGACTCTCCGCACATCCTGACTCCGGAGGTGGGCATGCGGGGCATGCATTCTGGGCGCTTTTTGTCCCACGATTGCTTGTAGGACACCATTGTAATCTCTCGCATAAATTACTCATTTTTTAATTTTTGTAACATAAGACCCTTCTTCCGTGAACAGTAACATGAATTTTTGTCAGTTTTAAAATATTTTTTAATGAATAAAGAATATTTATCATATTTATTTCGATGACGTTTTCAGTCAATAACTCGGGTTCAGAGCAGAGGACCCATCACGCTTGTTGCCGAAACGTGGAGTGGAGGGTTGGGAATGTTCCTATCGAAGCTACTCACGGATTCTCAGCGTGAAGTTTCTCTATTCTTGATACGGGGTGTTCCAAACAAACTGTGCTCTTTGATTCCATCCGATCAATATTTAAGTGATTACTTGACGAAGTTTCTGTTTTCGCTCATTATTAAGGTGAGAAAATACTTCCAATATGCGGCCCTTATGTAACTGCGTTGCGCTGTTTGCGGTATCATAGGAAAGGTATTGTCTCGTTGTTTCAAAATAATCAAACGATAATCGGATTGAAGAGGAGGGGTTTATTTCATTTATTTATTTGCTGTATTTCTATGGAAGAATAATTGAGCCAAAAAGTCACCAGTATTTTAAAGGGCGACGCAACAAGACAAGCATTGAGGCGTTCAACGATTTTTATGCAAAATAGAAAATTGGCAATTCAGAAAATAATAAAAGAGGTCTAAAACGAATCTTAAAATTTCTCAAAATTCATGAAAGAAAGTTTATAAAGCGCTCATCTTCGTTTATACAAATTTTGAAGATAATGGTATGTGAAATAGGATTTTAAAATATATCGCAACTCTCCCATCTGACATAAAGAAAAAGAAAGTGTAAAACAGAATATGGTAATGTATCGTTTTGTTTCAAGAGTAGGGGCCATAAATTTCGGAGGAGCTGTGAAAAATCATGGCTAGGTACTAACAGTGGAGGATATTTCAAAAAAAATCAAATGACGTCATCTTTGTATATTTCGTAGAAAATGAATCTGAATTTGATTAAAATACTGTTTATCATCTTCCCCTTCGTGTTTTTAACCCTAGTCTGCCTGAGTGGGGTCAGATTGACCCCACGGGAGTTTCAACTCTTTGCCATTTCTCGTGGCATGCACGAAATTTTTTGTCCTTCACAAATAGCTCTACAAAAACATCTAGGAACACGATTTTGAAGGGGAAAAAAAACAACAAAAAAATAAGCATGAGAGATCAAAAAATTCACGAGTACCCCTAGAAAGCCTGAGCGGGGTCAGATATCCTTATAATATATATTTTACCATTTAGCATCACAAAAGCTTACTTTGAAGGTGTATTTATGTTTCTCTTTTTAATTTTTTTCAGAACCTTATAAAACAAGCAAAATTTTTCAGATTTTTTTCGTTTTCAGTATTTAGTAGCCCTATGATTTTTTTTTCTCATGCTGAGAACAACATGGCAACATGTGTATGATAAAATGGTTGCATACCCTGCGCCGTGTTTTTTTTAAAATTTAGATATGCTTTATGGTTAAGAGCTGTAAGGTTAGTGCACTAATATAAACTAAAAACATGAAAAAAACATAGCTAACTAATTGATTTTCAGCTGGGGTCAAATTGACCCCGCTCAGGCTTTCTCGTTGGTTCAGAGGCTCAGGCAGACTAGGGTTAAATAATAAACGGCATTCGTTTACCGTGCTCTCTAGCTTTCTCTAAGTTCCTTCATGGCTCTGCAACAATTTTAAAAAGGAAGTAATTCTTTTGAAATTCAGGAGGATGAGAGTATATCCGGAGGATTCAATGGAGACAGAACATTCGACAAAGCAATGGAAGTACTGCCCCCAAGGTTTGATAGGACCTTCACCATGCGAACGTTTGACGCGCTGCTGAAAAGAATAAATTCTCTTAAATTGCTCATGAATAAAGACGTGTGTTTGTCGAATAATCTGTACTTGATGGAGATGAACCGATTTTGCAAGCTCACCGTCGAAGAGGTAGAGAAGGTAGGTCAATGCTAATATATCTTGAAAGAAGATTAACATATTCAATCACCCAGGAGAGAAGGGGCTAAAAGACCCTTAATTCAGAAAAATTAAAAATTAAGGCATCAATCCAATTGCATGGAAAAGTGAATTATTAATATTTTGGCTCGAGAGCTAAAAATGACTCAAATTTTACCACTGAGTACGGATTGACTTAGGCTTATTTGCAAACTACCTATTATTGCGTCACCCTCCAAGACTTTCTGTCAAAAGTTGCCACAAAATGCACGAGTCGAAAAAGATGAAAGGAAAGAAGATACTCTTCCGATCGGTAAACTTCTTTCATGCTTAGAAAGAACGTTAGACGTTGCAAAATGTCTTCTGATAAAAAATTTTTCATAGGAAAGGTTAACATTTTCAAGCAAAGTAAAATCAATCAAGGAGAATATCATCTGAAATATTCAAAACCAAATAGTCACACGTTGGTCACACGACTAATAGACACAACTTCGGAACGTCTGAATGTTGATGTTGCACCGTTCCTTGCAACTGCATAATTAATTAGTCTACAGTATTTATTGACTCGGTCCCTACCCTTCATCTGAAATACAACTATTGTAGTTCTGATAGACCCACATTTGCCTAGCCTGTAAATTGAAGGAAAATCCGGGAGCTTTACCGCGGGGCAGCTTTGGCACTCAGGCCCTATAACATTTTTAATCTGTCATGATTCATTCTATTCGAAAAATTTGGTTTTCATTTTTTTTAGTTTTATCTGTTTTACTCCTGTATTAAATTGAAGGCTTGCACGACCACACAGATCATGTTGTTAATGTATTTTCTTTCTCTTCACACAGATGTCAAATAAACCGGTGCAATTACTCAAATTCGATTGTCAGTCTTACAAAGAAATGCTATGCGACCCATCATTTGCGTTAAAGATAGCAGAAGAAGCCCCATTTGCATGGTGAAAGCACGTTTCTCCGTACAATGTCTCTTCTAATGTACTGACACATTTAACAATTAAAAACAATTTTTGATTGTATATTAGTTGTGTGAATTTTGCTTCGGAGTGACTATGACAGATTCATCACACCATTCGTCCTCACTGAGCCAATTTTCAGGAGGGTTGGCGGATGTTCGTTCAATATCGACACAGTGTTAATTACGTCGAGGGCCACACGCAATGTCTCAATCACATTAATGAGAAGTTAATTATCAAAGCGTTTGAATTTTTTTCACTTCATTTTTTGACCATATCCATCTTGAACGAGTGCATGTGTTCAAGAGCTAAAAAGTAAAATAGTTAATATTTCGATAGACGGCAAGAAGCATTATGAATTGCATTGTTTCTTTTTTCCTCAGAGATAATCATGAATTTGAAGAATATCAATTAGGTCCAATAATTCTGAAATTGGCATTCCAAGCTGTCCAGCGATTATGATAAAACCGAAAAAAATTGAAAAAAAGAGAACTACTAGAACTTATTCCACATAAAGAATCTATCATTCCTCTGCATGGCCAACAACAACACGACAAAAAACTGAGGAAACCGAATTTCAAACATTTTTAACCAACTAATTTCTTTTTAAATATGATTGATGTTACTCGTGCCAACTTATAATACATGCACTGTTGAATATTTATCTGTCATGATAATTGAATAAAAAACGATAATAAAACGATGTCGAATGCATGTATCCTACTTCTTATTTTTTCCCTTGCTTGTAACTTAAGACATCTTAATGTTTGTCATCCAAAAACTTATCTTTATTCTTTCAAATGTCATTCCAAGTTTTCTAGTATTCGTGAGGTTGAGCAAAAATGACTAATTCTGTAACTGAGGAATTTTACTAGGGGCTGTTCATGAGTTACGTTAAGTTTAAATTAGGCATTTTGTTCCTTCTTCCCCAGTCATGGACATGAGACTTTGGATTAGATCTCCTTCTCCAATAGGGCCTGCCATATTTTATGCACGACCCCTAAGGAACCTAAATGCATTACCAACAAAAAGATGAAGAATATTTATTGAAGATGTTTATTTTGATTCGTGACTTAAATACTTTAATGCATTTTATTTTAATATTTGGTGGTCAATAACTAGATATTTTTTTAGTATATGTATAAATAAGAACCCGACTACTTTTTTTATCTGAAAACGATTACTAAGTACTCAATAACAAACGCATGTTCCAATAATATGAGGGCTCTTGAATTAAAACTGAACGCGCTTTTAGCTGATCGTATCACTTGAATATCACAAATGAAATTATAGGAATTATCATACAAAAAGTCAAAGAAATTCCCCATAATTTGTACAAGAATTAGATTTTAAGGTCAGTTCACGACCCATATCTACAGTTGATTCATTCAATGTAAGTAGTTCTTATGCGTTATTATGCTCTCAAATTGATCATCTTTGTCTCCTTGGAAGTCTTTATAATCGATGCAGATGCGAATCCCAGGTCAAAAGGTGTAACCTCCTCTCCAAGCGTTGTGAGTCACAACGCTTGTAACGAGATCTAGTAAGGGAAGCAGATAAAGTTGACACAAATTTCAATCTCTTTGTTTTGCAAAGCTCGTTGCCATATGAATCTGATTTAAGTCAAGGATGCGGGGTGTATTACATTTCCACAAATTGCACTAGGACAAAGGCCTAACTACTTGTAGCCTCATTTCACTTCCAAATAAATCGATGATCACTTTCCTCGAATGTTTTGTCGTACTTTTGCAGTTTTACCCTGCTGCTGTTTCATTACTCTTGGCTTTCGGAATACCGTGGAAACGTGCAATTTTACTTGAATTTAGCACAATCCGATCAAAATAACATTTGATTAGAATCTTACAGTTTTTACTCGTTACTCACAAAACATTTCCTCGCTCGTTTTCACTAGTGTACCTTGTTTAGTTCATTGAATTTTGTCATCTATCCACACAAATTTTAATTTTTAAGGGTTTTTCAAAGTTACATCGGTGTGAAGTGTTTAAAGTGCCTATACAAATTATACTAAAAGCAAACGTAGATCACGAGGATGACTGATTTTTTTTAAGTAAACAGAATACACGTCTACTCATCAAGTCATAAACACGTAAGTTGACACATAAAAAAGTTCATTTTAGTGAACCGTTTGCTTTTTCGTGTTTTTGTAAGAACCAGCCTAAGGATTAGTCACTCTGCCAAATTTAATTTTTCTTCGTTAAATTTATTCTGCTCCATAAAAAACATAATACCCAAGTGCAAAAGAAGAGGGGGGCTCTGACTTCTGAGAGATCCTGTAAATTGATTAATTGCGATTATGTTTTGTGACTATATTCTTTACATTTTAAGCTTAGTAAATGGATCAAAAATAATTAGACGAGGTGAAAAATATGTTTAGTTCTTTCAAATCTTAGCTCACCGAACTCTGACAACCCAAACGATTTAAGCAGAAAATAAAGTCAATCTTCACAGGTATATGTGAGTCCGTGAAAGATGGTAACATTGCTGAGTTCTAAGAATAGATCTGAAGCTCCATTTATCAACAGAATACTAAGCAATACGAGTATACCTTGAAGTTTTGTGATAATCAAGTAGTTTCATGATCGAGTAGAAAATTTTAGAAATTGTTTAAAGAGGAAGGAAGAGCTTGATAAATTTTCTGTTAAAAGGATGAACCATGAGAGAAAGTTAGTCAAAATGTAATTAGGTTGATTCTGGTTGACTCCATCCATTCATAAGTCTGACTCTATTTCGGGAAATTTTCAAACCTATACAGATAGGGTCGAATGCATAATACACGCGGCGACCTAGAAGCCACGCGCGGAAGGTAGCATGTAAATTTATCGAGTTGAGATGCATAATGCACACGCCTTGGAGGCTACACGATGCATTTGCATAACTTTTCTAATGAACTCAAAGGCTGTCGTGATTAGTAAGCAGCTGCTCTGATTACCCACTAGTTTGCGGAGTGGACCAGATAGAAAGAGCCACTCCTCTTTCGTGGGTAAAATTCCCTTTCGCGCTATGAGGCTCTGTGTGTGCCTACTGTGCAGATCATTTACGAAAAAAAAAAAAAATAAATGAAGGAAATAATGAAAATAATGTTCGTGGAAAAAAGCAAAGTAACGATGAGAAAAAACTTCCATATATAATGACAATTTGTGTCCAATGTATGTTTTTGAGTAATAATAGACCACTAGGCAAGGCACGAAGTTAACCTTTTCTGATACATGTTTCGTAATCAGAATTTTACGTAGAACACAATTCTTGCATCGAAAATTACGGAAATTAATGTTTTTATTTTACATTGGTCACGGGAAATCTGAATTGCCCGGTCACAAGAAACTCAACACTCTACGTGAGTATCACATCGCGTACTATAACGGTTTTGGCAGGCCTCTCAATCAAGCAATGTTTATTGCCCACCATGTGTCGTTCAAACCGTAAACAACTTGCTACAGCTGAGCTAAACCGTCAAGATTGAGGTTGCCACATTTTTGTATAGCAGAGACTGTCATGGTAATTGGTAACATTTAGTGCGCGCTTAGACTCACGTAGACCATTGCATTTTCATGGCCGGGAGGTTTGAATTCACGCGTCAAGAAACATGAATTATCTTGTTCATGAGTTAAATTTAGCAATTTTCGTTTCGCAAATAGTGTACTAACTAACTAAGTGGTCCACTGCATGGAAAATGCCCTGGTAAATGAACGAATGCGCTCAGAAAAAGTTTGAATATATCTCATATTGCTTAATAAATTGAAAGTTAAGAGTAAAATTGAATGGGCAACGCTCTTAAAAACTTGCCTCTACATGACAGTGTCATGTTTGTAAAATTTTAATAAATACTCACGTTGCTCTCATTTTTTTTTTTTTTTTTTTTTTTTTTTTTTTTTTTTTTTGAAAATTAATACTATATTTCTTAATAAAATAGAAGCATATTCTGTGAAAAGCTTAAGCAACAGTGCAAATGAGAGAGGAGATTTTGAGGCACAACCAAGGTGTTACGCATTTTTGCGGTTTCATTGTCAAAATAATGCTAATTTTGACGTGTTGCTTTTTTTGCAGAGAAGCTTTTTTTTAAAATGTCCAATGTAGTAGGCTATTTTCTTTCGTGTAACTGCTTCTCTTTTTCTCGCAGATATAAGTTGTGGCGTCGAGACTCAAGCCTTCAGCCACATCATGGAGGAGAGGGTCGAGGTCGTTATTTCCGGAGCTGCTGGGGCGTTTCCCCAGTGCAAGAGTATTCCTGACCTCGAAGATGCTTTGTTCAAAAAAGCACATCTTGTCACAAGTGATAACAGCAAACAGAAAAAAAGTACGTGATTTTACAAGTAATTTACCTTAACAAATATTCTACAGGACTCCCTCGACAATTATACCAAATTCTGCAACACGGGACGACTATTTTTGGCTCATTTTAGAAATAGCACATTGATGCCTAAAGTTCGAAACCACGTATCTCTATTGAAATGTTTCAACATTTCTGCTCCTATTTTATATTCAGAGGAAGAACAAGAAAATTGTATAACCTGATATTAAAACCGAATATTCTGCGAATACAGAAGAAAAATAAAAAAAATATTCAAGAAATTCCGTTGATTATAGTTTCTCAACAAAAAATGAAGCACGCCAGGAAGCCGCAACGTCACAAAACGAAGAAACGTGGTTTTGAACTTTAGCCGTCGATGTGTGCCATTGATTTCTCTATGAGAATAGGTGCTCATGTAGATGAATCAAAAGTAATGTTTCATTTTTGCGAAATCTAGTTCAGTTCATTCATTTCTTCGAGAAGAGTTGCATTTTTCCTTTTAAAAATTTTAGTGAATTATTTGGAGTTGAAGAAATAATATGTTGGATGAAACTTTGCAGCGTTGCGACGCAATTGAGCCTCTTTAAACGAGACTGTTATTGGACGGTTTAAATCAGAATCAGCCAAATGAAATGTCTGGTGCTCCGTAAGTCATTAATTGATGGCAAATTTTAAATAGACCAACCCAATGAATATTCAATACAGAATTTGAACTTGAAATTATGTTTAATTATTTATATTGGAATTTTCTAACATCGACGAAATTATACGTCTGGTGCAGAAATAATAGAGTATGAATCAGTTTATGCTCGAGTTGCTCCGCTCGAATAACTGAGGCGGGAAATCTGAAGCATCTCGTAATATCACCACATGCATTGCCGTGTTTTATTTCGTAAAAAGTTAATTTTATGCATCTTGCGACCTTCAAAACGCCTTGACTTTCAATTAGACAATTAAAATTCCTCTGATGCTTACGTGTGGCCTTTGAGCTATCTTTCAATGATACAAATACCTGGGGGCATTTCATTCAATCATCCTACCTTGGCCAACTTTATGAATCCCCTCCCTCTTCCTTCTATTACCAGTGCACGGTACCCATTAATCAATCTCTTTGCCCCTTCTTTAATTTCCTAGGGGTTTTGCCTAACCCCTACCCCGCAATTTTTTCAACAAATATTTATAATAAAGTCTAGAATATAGCAACAAAAAATAGCTTAATTTTTTTTTAGTACTGGAATTGTAATTTTTTTGAAAGTAAGTAGAAGTCTTACGTGCGACTGCGCTTATAACTTCCCTTCCCACATAGACCTCGCGAGAGGCAAGCTCAGACCACCCTCCCTCATAAGTAGTCTCTGTGATTTGTAAACAGCCTCCCAGCCCAAATTATTCGCTTGATGATTGCTTACGGGTCGTTGTTAAAATGGATAGACACAGCTATAGACAAAAGAAATATGGAAGGATTCTATTGGTGAAAGTGGGTGGGTGTAATGAAATGCTTTGTCTAGTCTTATCATGTCAACATAGCTTCAATCATCGAGCCATTGATGTAGCTCAGTGGCTATGCTGATTTTGGTAAAACGTGTCCAATTTGTTAGTTTCTTTACTAAAATTTATACAAAAAACATATTAATGATTTGCAAAAATTGAATTGATTGCAGTCTTTCATCACCATGTAACGCCGTGCTGGTCTCTTTTGATTTTAATTTATTTTTTATTTTTGTACTTTCTAAGCGGTTGATACGGGTGTTGTGAGACACCGAAATGTCCCGTGTATTTTTATGTATTTTAGCCGTTTCCACTGTTTCCTTGTTTCGATTTTACTATTTCCGATGCGGGCTGCCTTGTGTCTTTGTTCTTTAAAGATTTTGCCTATAAAATTACATGGTATCCTAGTTAAAGATACTTTCAATTAATCGTTGAGGGGTTAGCTATGGCGCCGAGTAGGTATGATAAAAATTTAATTGAGATTTTGGTTGAAGAGGGGCGTATTCCCTCTACTCTGAAATGGGCTGCTTGTTAACATCTACTAATCTTTTTAAATAATTTAATCTAATTGATTTTCAGACCATGGAGCTGCCCGGCATTGCGGTAAAGCCTTTTCTCCTGAGAAGTTCGATTCAATATTCTTTAAAGTCCCTTTTAGTTCACCTCCCACCATGGACCCGATTGCAAAGCAGGCATTGGAAACGAGCATTGAGGCTATTATTGATGCAGGTTGGTCTAACAGGTTTTGATTACTAGAATTGAGCTAGATGTTCTATTTTTAAGACTTACCACAATGAGTGTCTATCTCTGCCAGCATAATTAGTTACTTACTTGGTTCGAGGGAAATCATGCAAAATATGGTGGGTTAAAGTTCATAGAGTGACCCTGAAATATCGAGTTCAAAATTTGTCCGTCATTGATTCAATGATTCCTGTATGAAGGAATAACACTTCAAACTTATTTTCCTTGAAAAAATTAAGGATGAATTGGTTCTTTCCTACTTCATTTGCTCCATCAATACCTTAATTGAATGATAAAATTCAAAAATGAATGAATTTGGGCCAGAGACTTAGGTTTCCGATCAAAACGAGTTAAAAGTCTAATTCACACCTAATTTTCTTTTTCTTGTATTACATTTTATAACATTTTATGTAACCAATGAAAAAAATGGTGTCTCGTTGTTTGTGAATATTAGGATATTATAATTAGTTTAGTGATCGCCATTTTTGAAAGGGTTTAAGTTGAAGGGTTTGAATAAAAAAAGTGTTATGATTAATTTCAGGAGTAAATCCAAAGTCACTAGCAGGCTCAAAAACTGCAGTTTTCAGTGTGTACGACTTCACTGAATTCGAAATGAGCACACCTTACGCCCAGACTCAGAGAGCACTGCTTGGCGTTGCTCGATGTTTCACCGCCAATAGACTCTCGTTCACGTTGGACTTAAAAGGTTGGTTACAATAAAAGTCTTATTAATTCGGAAAAAGGGAATGTAATTCCCATTACGATAATATAAACTGTAATGAAAACTATAGTCTGAGACCCCGATGACATTTTGAGTGACGAAGTAAGAAAAACATTTCATTTCTGAGATCGACAGCCGTAGATCTATTGAAGTGAGAGTTGCTTGTCTGTCTAATATACCGTTAAAAACCTGCTCCCTAGCGTAAATATTACCTTGCGGTGAGCTAACCATCACCTTGCGGCAAGGTATCGGCCTATCCACCCTCACCGAGCCCTATCCGAGCCCTCGCCGGGTCAGTTCGTGGAACTTAACGACTGGGAATAATTATGCATGGCAACGCTGGAGACGAAAATCGTACCCAACACGGGGTATTTCCCGATGCAATGTCGCCTTTTTCAAGCCCTGCGTCTGGATTTGGGTCTACAGTGTTGTCATACGGTTTTAATCCCGGTCGTCGAGTTCCTTGAACTGGCTTGGCGAGGGCTCGGATAGGGCTCGGAGAGGATGGATAGGCCGATACCTTGCCGCAAGGTGATGGTTAGCTCACCGCAAGGTAATATTTACGCTAGGGAGAGCCATTTATATACGTCATCTAGTGCCCGTAGAAACCTGGAGGACATCTATGCTCCATCCGTCCTTTTTCTATGCTTTTCAAGTGGACCAGTGGACGGAGTGCCTTCTCTTCAATTATGATTAATTCCCAGTTCTTCGACGAAAGCTCATTTTATCCGTTCGAGACTTATTGAATTCACAACCGCTTTGGAGCAAATTGAGATCTTGTAAACGGCGACTCTCTCAGTTTTGCATTAGAATACGATTACCAAAGCAAGAAGACATAAAAAACCACAATCTGAACCGAGCGTTTGGGCTCTTTTTTTAAATAAGACTTACAGACAAAAAAATCATAGAGCGCGAAATAATTTTCCGCTGGCATTTTTCAAAATTACGCCTAGAATGAAAACTCTAAAATTGTAAACAATTTTGGTTCACATCATTAAACAGGGCCACTTAGATGGGATACAGTAGAGCGCCTTCAACCCACTGCATAATAATAATGCAAAATTCTGATACCACTATTCGTGCGTCACGACAGTCATTTTGCATCTCCGGCCAATTGAAGGCGAATCATCGACCCAGGCAACAGGGTACGAATTTCAGCGATGTGATGCGTGATCTTTAGGGAACAAAACCTCCGCTGAAGCTCCAACTGGCATCCAAGGAGCCCAACCCCCCGAGGGCTGTTCCACCTGACATCCATTGGACCCAACCATTGGGGTGCTCCCCCCGGCTTCCAAAGAGCCCAACCCCCAGGGGCTACCCCACTTGGCATCTAAGAATCCCAACCTTCCCAAAAGCATGCTTTTAGAATTCTAAAATTAGGAGAACACACATACCATATTCACAAGCTTCTACCAGATTTTGGTCGGGTAAAACTAGAAGGAAATGCTACAAGGGCAGGGGCACCCCACCTGATATCCAAGGGATTCAACCTTCGGGGTTCTCCGGAGAACCCAACCCTCGGGGTGCCCCCCTGGCACCCAAAAAGCCCAACCCCCTAGGGGTTGCCCCACTTGGCATTTACGAAGTGCAACCTCCCGGGGGCCGCCCCACCTGACATCCCAAGCACCCAACCCTCAGGGTGCCCCCTGGCATCCTTGGAGGCCAACCCCCCGGGGACTGCCCCACTTGACATCCAATGAAGCTCAATCTTTCGGGGGCTGCCCCACCTGGGATTCGAGAAGCACAACCCCCAGGGGCTGCCCCCCTTGGCATCTGAGAAGCGCAACCTCCCGGGGGCTGCCCCACCTGAGTATTGGAGTGATATTCAGGTACTCAAATTGGCCGAAAGAAAAAAAGAAGAGAGAACATAACTGGGGCTTGAAACTAATTTTGCGAAAAACGCCTGTGGGCCATTTTTCTAAAATTGAAGGAGTACTGTCTCGACTCTGAAACTTCTGTGTGCAGATTCAGAATCAGAACGATTCACAGGTGTTTTGATGTTATTTTCGATGTTGTAAAAACAATATTTTTTTCAACGATGTTGTTGAAACTGCCTCAATAATTACATCCTTCCATCGATTACAAGATTCACGTACTTGACATGTGAGCCATTGATGTATTGACATTTTTAGGTCCCAGTTTTTCCGGGCAAGGAGGTTACGGACAAACATTCCACTTCATGGATGAGGCGAGAGCCCAATTGGAGGAGGGGCGGATTGATGCGGCGTTGGTTGTGACGGCCAACTTCATTCTATCTCCTCGCTCAGCGATCGTTGCACAAGGGATGGGTTTGGCTTCCAAGGACGGGAAGTGCAACGCTTTTGATCAAAGTGGTAAATTATAACTCTCAATGCCAACCATATGCAGAATTGGGTGGCTCAGATGGAACACCCACCCCATTTTAACCTGTTCTGCTAAGGAGAAACGCTGTGTGCGCCTTCAGGCGTTGTCAAATTTCGTCCAAAAAATGAGCTTTTTTAAGGAGACCGTTGGATATTTTTCAGACAGTTTTATTCGGAGAATTTTACTTGCAATTTGATTTAAACAATTTGAAAATATCAAGAAATAATATTCATTCCTTTTACCTAAAATTACAGTTTTATCAGGGGGTATTTTGGCTACTCCTTGAGCAGAGTTGCCAAAAGAAATTTCATCGAATGAAATTTCGTGAAATTCCACAAGAAATTTCATGAAATTTCTTTTTCCCCATGAAATTTCTTGAAATTTCCTCATGAAGTTTCATCTTATAATCTTTCACGAAATTTCTTAACTCTGTCCCTGAGGCTCATAATGCATTTTTTATCTTTGCACGGCCGTGCTTCGCTCCTCCCAAAACATGTTAGGGATTTGCCTATATTAGCAAGTGCGTGACTTATCATTGTATCATTGCAATTGAGGACACCGCACCAAGAACAGCCTGTAGGCGTATAGGTCGTTAATTCGTTATTACGCCCATCTGCTTTTCAGATTCTACGTACACTGGACTATGCTGTGGTAGCGATAGAATATGGATATTTAACGGCTCGAGGTAGAAAAACCTTTTTTTTTTCGAATTATGTCAGGCCACTGGATCGATGGGTGCAAGAACGACCTATAAGCAGGCCTATAAACTTAAAGGCCTATAAGGTGCTAGTTACCCCTTTCTTTACTCACTATCGATATTCTTTCATTTTGCGTTAATTATGTGTGATGAAAATGATTTATACTTCATGTTGCCACCAAAATGACTGTTGGGCGTAATAATGGCCTAAAAACCGCTTTTTTAAATCAAATATATTAGAGTGTAAACCCAAAATGTATCGCAAAATCTACCCGTCATCCTTCGATAGAAGGGTTAGGTCACACAAAAACACCAAAACAGGAAAGAAAAAAGTAGAAACATAAGTCACATAGAAAAAGTCTGCGCAGTACATCAAGAACAAAACTTTAAATGCGATTTTCTCAAAACGCGGTTTCAAGTTATAGGCAGTACTTCGTGCGGTGTCCTCAATTGAAATAGCCTTTATGCACGCTGGGCTTGTCGATTTCCTTTGACATTTTTGCAGTGGTGAATGCATAGCTGAAGTGCGCTCCAGCTAGAATTGTATTTAGCAAATTGGTGGTTTTTCTACGAGGATTAGAAACAAACAAGTGGTACGGAAAATAACAAAAGATTAGGAACTATGCAAAACAATAATTTGGATAGCGTTACTTGGCTGTTTTGAAAACGCCTTCAAATGCGGCGTGATACCTCACGCATTCCGGAGAGTTCAAATAGTTGTATCATTGCGCCTTAGAAATGCGACTGCGAATGATCTTGGAGCTAGGGTAAAAAGTGCGCTTGATTGAGAGATTTGTTTTGTTCAAACGACTCAAATCTTGAGTTATTTGAACGTTTTCAAGTTAATAAGAACTTTATGCATATAAACTAAATTGAACGGAAATAAGAAGTGCGGAAATTGTATGTGTATTACTCCTTTTGATTTAATTCATTTGCATAAAGTGCCTCTCATCATAATTTCGCTTAACGAACAGCAAAGGAATTCCTTTGAGATAAAGCTCGAAAGTTTAGGTTAATCCTTCAAACTTCCGGTCCACCCCTTCCAAATTTTTACCTTTTTCATATTTTGGAATGAATCTTTGAGGACATTCCTTGATCAATGTAAGCTCCTTTTGGTTGCCATTTGAGAAAAGTCAGGGCCCGCAGCTCCCCTGTAGAGGAACCCCGAAACTTTGAGGGGCCTCAAAAATAGCTTACAATGATTCATGAGCATCCCCATAGTTTCGTCTCGGAAAATGAATTAGATAAAATTTTAGAGGGGGTAGACCAGACTTCTGTGACACCCTATATCCGAGAACACGTTTTAAAAAGACTGCTGGTGAGTCGTCGACTGGTGAAAGAGTATTGGTGGTGCTACAATTGAGCTTCACTTTGCTGTTTAGAAACTACAATTTCTGGCTGATCCAAAAAAAACATTTGAGGACTTATCTGTAACAATAACGGATGTGGAAAATTACCTTTTCGAAACACGCTTAAAAAACTGTTTTGTTCACACAAAAATTTAATATGTTTGGCTCTGGCATAATGCACAGATCTCGAAGATCACATCTCAAGTATTTTCTTAAAATTTTCTCGATGCCAAAACAGTTTTTTGAATGTGTTTCGAAAAGGTAATTTTTCACATCCGCTATTGTTACAGATAAGTCCTCATTTGTACCCAGGGAAACTAATGTTCCGCACGTTGTTTCCTAAACTGAACCAAAAATTGCAGTTACTAATTCCAAAATGTAGCCCAATGAATGGGTGTTACTATCTTAGTTTCGTCAAAAAATATAACTGCGCTCTTTTGATTCCATCTCAATTGATTTTCGTGATTTCAGCGCACGGTTATGCTCTCAGTGAGAGCTGCGTGGCATTTTTCATGCAACGCGCGCCGGATGCACGCCGAAATTGGGCGACGATCATTGGAGCGGAGCACAGGTTCTTCGGCACCAAAGAGGGCAACCTGCTGGCCTTCGACGGGGAACCGGCAAAAGAAATGCTCCGTCAACTTTATTCCAAATGGAACATTGACCCCTCTGACGTTGGCTACATCGAAGCGGATGGCTGTGGACTTAAAGTTCGTCTAATATACTCAAATATTTTAAGTAAATCTATGACCTTCCATGAAGAAAGACCCCATAGTGCACAGCAAAAAAGTATCACGATCTCAACTATACTTCCAGCTGATTTTAGCGCCAGCCATAAGAGAAGTTGCACTAGCTGGAAGTGTAAAGGTACCAGCCAGTGGTATAGTTGGATTGCATTTTACAATGAGGAACCACTATCTCTGGCTCTTTCATAAAATCACATATCTGCATATGGAAACCAATGGCATGTATGTTGTTTCTAAAATGGGCCAGACATAGTGGTTCCTTATTGCAAAATGTAATCCAGTTAATCCAACCACACTTATACTGACCGTGAGAGTCCCTGCTTGAGGTACGGTTGATACAACCACACTTCCAGCTGATTTAACCATACCTCTGGCTTGTGCAACCACTCTCATATCTGGCGAAAAAATCAGCTTGGAGTATAGTTGGGATTGTGATGCTTTTTTTCCGCGTGACACCGAAAGTCGATCCATAACCAAGTCGTCGTTCTCCTCGTGAGAGGACGTTACTACATTTCAGTGCTGTCTATAATTTCTCCTCGGAAATTGCATTTTTACGAAAAGAATCTTGGACTTTTCTGACTGAAAATGTCCCTGATTTTTCTTCTGATCTCGTGCAGAAATCAGAAACATATCAGACAAAGCTTGCATGGGTGCATTCTTACAAAAAGATGATTGTTTGAGTCAATTTTTCAGACACAAAGCACATAAAAAATGCTCAAAAATATGGAACGAATTGTAAGTTGCAACAATGTGAAATTTTAATTTCAAAAAGTTAGTTATATACTCTATAGTCTCGTATAGAGCCCATTTAATTTTTCAACTTGCCATGTTTAAGGCTTAAAATGTTGAAAATGAGCAATGCCAGTGTATCTCGAGCGTACGTACGCTTACTATGTAGGGTTCTCAACGGGCTAATTGTCGACATTGATAGACAAAGCTATGGACAAAAAGGACAAACGATATATGGAGAGATCTTATTGGTGGAAACGGGTGGTTGCAATGGACAAAAGAAGGTAGGTAATAGACTAGCTAAATAACGGCAACCCACGAGAGACCTTTTATTTAGTTAGTCCATCATTTTGAGTCGACCAACGAAGTGGGTGACTCCTTCTAATCGGTCTGCTGGACCAAAGATATAATGATCACCCAATTTNTATATACGTTTTAAAACATTTATGTTTTGATACTAACATGCATATTTGGATTTGTAGTCATGTGCTTAAAATAAACCAACATTTTTACCAATATATGTTTTGTGTATATTTTCATCTAATACAAATGGATTTTTTTATTATTACCATATTTTCAATTAGGAAATTTTTAAAATAAAGGTGATTGTTTCAAGTGTCGGGACGAGAAAATGGAATTCCAACCAAATATTTTTACACTTTATTTCCTCTAGTTAAGACTACAAAAATTTACTACGTACATTCTCAGATTATCCAATTATTTACAGATAACCAAAATGCCCACCATGACCCCATGGTCGACTCTTCCAGCACGTACGTGGTGGAGCTAACAGCTTGTTTCCCTTTCGTATAAAAGAACTACCCATTTCAACCAATAGGATCGCTCCATACTCCTTATTTTTCATTTGTCTATTGCTTTGTCTATCAATTTCAACAATCAGCTCACAGAAACTCCAACTAGTAGCAATGTCCATAAAATTAGATTTATGACTTAAAAAAATCGCGAGAGATTCAATTTTCCAAAGGGAAAATAATCAATATACATACACTGCTTGTCACTGTATTTTATACAAACCTCTGGATCCGAAGAAAAGGGCAAAAAAATATTATAATTTCCTTGCCAATGTTTGATTCTAGGATATAGACGCCAAAGAGGCCGATATCATTTCGGATGTTTTTTGCCGCAAGCGGAGGAATCCTCTACTCATAGGGTCGTTGAAATCAAATATGGGTCACGCAGAATCAGCCGCGTGTGCCGCGGGGGCAGTCAAAGCTATTATAGCACTGACGAGCTCTTCTATCCCACCAAACATCAACATAACCTCACCAATTCCAGAATTGGAGCCCAAAAGAATCAAGGTGAGTTTGTCTAGTACTCACCAATCAAGACAGTATTCTAACAATACACAATGATTTGGTAAAATCTCAAAAAAGGCAGCTGAAATATTGGTGACAGTTAATTCTGCACAATAATACTATAGCAATATTTTTCAAATCATGGCCTGGCGGCGATGGAGGGATAACAGATGTATTCAGAAAGTTATATTAGCATGTACTCCACCGACTCAAAAATTTTAATGAAGGAGTAGAATAGTTATATACGGCGAAAAAAGTAATACAACTATTTCGACTTCCAAGAAGGTAAAATTGAATTTCAACAAAATGAAGGGAAACTTGATCTCTTTGCCGCTGACTCGGAGACTTTAACGCAGGGGTCGAACAATTAATTAAAGTGAAACAAGTTATACAACTGTTTCGACTTCCAAGAAGGTAAATTTACATATCCACTGGACGCTTGAGCATGAAAATAATCACAGTGATTATCCTTTGCACCATCTATTTTTATTTTTATTTATTTATTTATTTTTAATTTTTTTTTTGTAATTTATGAACAATTGAAATTATGATTTTCTGTCATAAGTGACTCTTATAATTCTGGAAAAAGGTAGCTGAGTAGATAATCGATTTTAAGGACGCTTGAACACGTTTTATGCCATCTGTAGATTATATTTTTGCGAAGAGCCTGTGCGTAAAATAAGTGACACAAAACTTTGAGTAAGATATGGAGCGTTAATGCCAGATGTGACAGCAATAGCTATGCTTCCCCACACCAAAAAATCCACTCAGACATTATTTCCGTTGCCAAAGTAATTGAATATGATGGTGAGGATTGTATAATTGATTATATTGATTATAGATGTATTTGAATTTACATTACAAGCTATTTATGTACTTTGAATGAGTGAATAAAAAAATCTAGCTTTTTGAGAAAGAAAAAAATAATTAAATTTCAAGATAACATCAGCATGTGTGTTTTACTCATCTATATGACATGGTTATAGGTTGTTACTGAAGCAACTGAGTTGAATGGCGAATTGATAGGTGTGAATTCAATTGGTCTCACTGGACATTTTGGACATCTCCTGTTAAAAGCGAATTCTAAGTGAGTAGCACAACATCTTGTACAGAGAGTACATTTAATCATAGTTCAGTGTGTAAATCATGATGTGGAAATTCAACGGTTAATTTCATCTCCGACATAATAGTGCCGGGCGTGAGAAGTATTCTGTTGATTACATCAAAGCAGTGATCAATTTTTAAGCGCATATTAAGGAACCATGCAGAGAAGCAATTGCCAAAAATAGATAAATAAGAATTAACTCAGGTGTCAGTTGAATGTGATTTGAGCCAATATTCCTATTGAAGAGAGTAGTGGTTTCAGATTCGGGTAACTGGAATTGAACTATTCTTAAAACCTATCGATTCGGAAAAAAAGTTAAATAAAAGAAGGACCAAAAAAAAAAAAAAAATGAATTAGAAAATTTCAAGAAAGTTCAAAGAGGTTACAACCAGAGATTTCCTTTAACTGAAAGACGCGAACCAAAGCGCTCATTATACCTATTTTTATTGGATAAATTTTTGAAAGAGTCCACAAATTACTTATCACTATTTTTTCATATCGTTGAAACATACCCATTCTCCTGATTAATTGGATTACATTTCGTAATAAGGAACCACTATCTGTGGCTCTTCCATAAAAGCACCTCTCTGCATACGGAAACCAATGGCCAATATGTTGTTTCTAAAATGAGCCAGAAATAGTGGTTCCTTATTGCAAAATGTGGTTCAATTGAGAAGTACATCACGGTTTGATCGGGATCTTTAATTGGTTAGAACTCGATATGCCTTTTTCAACCAATCAGAGGGTTCCATATCGTCAAGGACAACTCCTTGTGTGTCAACTCACAAAAGTATTCTCTAACAGTCCCCTGCGTTATGCTATATAAAACTAATTTATCCGTTCTCTGGATTGCCATTTCCCAAAAATCGTCATTGAGTAACAATGAAGTCTCCACTGTTCGTAGGAAATCCTCGACAATGCAGATCAACGAATCGCTGCCTCAAATCATGTTGCTTAGTTCTCGAACTGAGTCGGGGATAGAAGACGTCATGAAAAGAGTCAAAAGTATCAAAGTAACGCCAGAATTTGCCAGTCTAGTGAATGGTGTCTTCGGACAGGAAGTGCAGAGCCACATTTACAGAGGTTATGCAATTGTTCCAACCGATAGCACCAACATCACAATCAAATCTCAGGTACATTGCGGAAACATTCCATCTAATATACAAAATAATGTGAAGAGTGTTTTATATTGATTCTTCATGGCATTCAAGGAGCGTCGTAAAATCACGATCTGATTTTTAAAAAAATGAGGGAAGTTGGTTTTTAATAATTGTTGAAACGATTCATTTTATTGCAATACACGTGTAAAATAATATTATGAGTATTTCAAAGATGGAAATCGTGTTTGGCTACCAAACACAGTATTGACTTCTTGACTCTGACCTCATTTACATTCGTGTTTCACGAATCGACCCTTATCTGAACAATTAAAATAGATCGTATTCGATACATGAAACAGACGTTCTCTCGCTGTAATTGTATCGTAACGGTTGGTTCCTTATGTAAGTATAGCCTCAAAAGTCCATCGAGTGATTTGTAGTAACGGATTTTTGAAATTAATTTTTGATTCTCGTATCAAGGAAATGTGACATTCTTGGGAATTCCCTCTTTTTCAGTTTTTTTATCTTTAATCCTAAAATTTTGGTGCGGAGTTATATTCTGCTCTTTTGAACCAATCGTCATATTGAGCCAGTATCTAATACGGTCCATAGCAAGCAATGGTTGATTTGTGTGAATTTCTTCTAACAAACCGATCCTTACGTCCTCCTAAAGTAGCAACCAATGGCCGATTATAATAATTTTTTCCATGAACAACCTAAATCGCTCTCGTCTAATATTCCCGCTGACGGTCATTTTCAGAGGATAGATGATAGCAAGCGTCCAATCTGGTGGGTGTTCTCGGGTATGGGTTCCCAATGGAGCGCAATGGGTGCTCACCTGATGCACATCCCAATTTTCCGTGACGTCATCGATAGGTGCGACAAAGTTCTTGCACCCCGTGGCGTGGACATCAAACATATTTTAACGTCCTCAAATAAGGATATATTCGATAATATTCTACATGCATTTGTTGGCATCACGGCAACTCAGGTGAGCCTTAAAAAGTTCATACTTTGGAAATGCGTGTCGTTCTTCAAGTTCGAAAAACTCTTAAACGAGATTATATTCGTACGTACCTATAGAAGATGGGACAATGCACAATGGACCATTAGACAAGGTACGAATTTAAGCAATCTGATACATGTTTCTTAACCAGAATTTCACGTAGAACACGATTCAAACTACGAAAATTACCGAAATCAACTTCTAGCGAAGATATTAACGTTTTTATTTCACATTGGGTACGAGGAATTTGAACTGCCCGCTCACAAGAAACTCAAAGCTCTACGTTAGTCAAATCGCGCACTACAACGGTTTCAGCAAGCTTCTCAATCGAGCAATATTCATTTTCCACCATGAGTTGTTCAAACTATTGGTAATCTGCTATAGCTGAGCCAAAGTGTCAAGATTGAAGTTGAAGATTTTTACATCGCAGAGACTGGACCATGATAAACATTTAGCGCGCGATGTGAATCACGTAGAGCATTGAGTTTTCATGAGCGGGTGGTTTGAATTCACGCATCAATAATCATTAAATATCTTCGTCAGGAGTTAATTTCGGTAATTTTCGTTGTGTAAATCGTGTTTTTCGTGAAATTTTGGTTGAGAAACATGTATCAGAATGCTGAAATTCGTACCTTGTCTAGTGGTCCATTTCACATTCTGCTTATTCATATTGGTGATTGAATCGGAAATCAAAGAGGATCAACTTAAAAATATCCATCATTTCAAAAAGTTTCAAATTTGCCTCTAAAGCAAAATATCTCAGTTAGCAAGAAAGTAAAATAGAAATTAATCGCCAAAAAAATTCAACTAAAAATTGTTTAAGTGGAAAAAGAGAGTAACATAAACCACACGATTAACATCACTAGTCAACCGATGAATTGTAGAAGTCTACAGCTTAATGAAAAACAAGACTTTTACTTATTCATTCTTTTCTCCCACTCCACGGCTTCCTCTTGGTTGAAAACATTATTTGATATTAAAATTAAACTATTTTGTCATGGGAACGCATAGAGAAAAAAAAGGAGGTGTTTGCATTTCGGGCATCTTGGAATTTTTCATAGAGTATCTATAGCTTTGATGACGTCATTGGGTACAGCGACGTTTTTATCCTGTCGATTTTCTTGGAAATGGTGTAATTTAAGGGAAAAAGTCATTCTATAAAAAGTGCTTGAAATTAAATAAAGAGTTGATTTAAGTAAAAAAATCGGACATTATGGTCCGTTTTTACAGCGTCAACATAACCCTCAACGAGCGTCTTGTTTACATTGATGACGTAGGTGGGTACAAATCCTCAAGATGCAAACACCTCCTTTTTTTTCTCTATGATGGGAACGGAGTTCCCCATGATATTACAATCGTTCCGTTGCTTTCGCAATGGGATTCCCTATACCTCTGCGACCTTGAGCGTTTCGCCCAGTCTCCGATTTTTGGTTGATTTTCCGATGTATCAAAAACCGTTGTATTTTTTAGCCAATCATGTCTCTACGTCAAGTTGTGTTGATTTCTAAAATTCGCTTTCAGCGAGTTTTTTTCCACCTTGAGATGTCGTGTCTGACTGGTAAATCTGCGCAGAACCACGAAGTTCCGTTTTTAGGCAAATTCTTTTTTTTGGGAGGTTCTGATTGGTTATTTTTCGCCATCAGTTTTCTGTTCGTTGGTGCAAAAGATCGCCTACCTCGTTGCTCTTGAGAAGCCGCCATTATCCCACCTCAAATTTTAAACATAGATGTAAAGAAATAATAACCATCGTACAAGGTGGAAAATTGCTCTGGAGGACCCGTTACGGATATATGAGCCAAAATCAGAACTCGATTGATGGATTTAATCCATGAATACAGAAATATTGCCTCAGCTTACTGCCGCGATCGCATATGCATACTGATATGAACCTTGTGACACATGACCGCATAGGTAAACAATGTCTCACAGAGTAATGCGCTTGATCCATTTGTCTCTTATCACGCCAGTGGCCGAACCGTTGAAATCTCAAGGACGTCTTTTGTGAAGCCCCGCTCAGCGTCCGAGATCACTTAACTGTTCTCATTTTCGTCACCACCATCCGGCCGGCGAGATAGCTCAGTTAGCTAAGCCACTGTACTGGTTCTGGGAGAGCGTCACTTTTTGTGCGAGCGGGGGTTCGAATCTCGTAGTGGACAGCTAATTTTTACTGGTTGTATTGGATGTTTTAGACCAATAATCTAACAATAATTAATACTTGGCAACTTAGGAAGCACATAGGTCCCTTATGATGCGTATTTGGGCATATGTGTAGAGTAAAAATATCATACGTAGGGTGTCCCAAAAGTACCGGGACTGGTTCTGTAACTTCAAAAGTAAGATAGATGCAGACATGATTTTGGTCTCATTTTAAAGATCAACTCAATACCTATCGATTAAAACCAAGATCAGCTCAATCGAATAAAAATTGACCGAGTTATGACAATTTGAAATTAGTGAGGAAAGTTTACCCCTACGGTTTTTAGGAAGATTTTTCGCTTACCAGGATTCAAAAAGTTAATATTCCTATCCACTTTCCTGCGAATCTTCCATAACTTCCTTTCGCTTTTCAAAGTACCGTCCATCAAACCGGATGCACTTTTTCATGCGCTCTTGCCACTTATCCAAAATTGTTTTCCTGAATTCTTCCTCTGGGATGGAGTTGAAGAAGTTTTGAATTGCATTCTGGATTTCGGTCTTCGATACGAATCTTCGTCCGCGAAGCTCCTTTTTAAGCGTAGGAAACATCCAAAAATCACATGGAGCCAAGTCAGGGCTATAAGGGGGATGAGGGATTGTTTCAACTCCATTTTTACTTATAAATTCACGTGTTAAGCTCGATGTGTGAGGCCGCGCATTGTCTTGATGGAGTATCCACGAAGCTTTCTAGTCCGACCGTTTCCGGGAAATGTGCATTCTCAACTCCTTTAGTACTTTGCAATAATACGCACTGTCAACTGTTGTGTTTGATGGTACAAAATGTTGATAAATGACACCTCGAAAATAAAAAAACACAATAAGCATCACTTTATCGGCCGACTTTTCGATTTACGGCGATGAAGAATCTTCCTGAAAAACCGTAGGCGTAAACTTTCCTCGCTGATTTCAAATTGCCATAACTCGGTCAATTTTTATCCGATTGAGCTGAACTTGGTTTTAATCGATAGGTATTAAGTTGATCTTTAAAATGAAATCAAGATCATGTCTGTATCTATCTTACTTTCGAAGTTACAGAACAAGTCCCGGTGCTTTTGGGACACCTTATGTACACTTCACGCCGAAAAAGCGAACCTGAAACTTAAATGCGTTAACTTCCGAAAACCATATATAATCCAACGAAAATAAATAATTGGTACATAACAGCTTTCTTGTATGCAAAGAAAATAATTAAAAATGTTAAAAAAGAGATGTCAACACAAAATTACATAGCCCCTTCAATTCAGAAGATACTACAAACGAACTGTACCTTAACATTTTCATATCCCAGAAGCTAACGTTCCCATGACGAATATTGCTATCGCTAGCGATTGCAAAATCCAACTTGTTTAATTCTAAAATCTACTGCTAAATTCTTTGAGCTATATAATATCCTAAAACCCTCCATAAATCGAAACCAAAGTTAAAGAACCATGAAGATAAGTATGCTTTGCAATGGTTTGCTCATCTGGTTGATTTCAACATGTTTCTATCGATTAATAAAAACTGAAGTCAAGAGACAACTTTAACCAAACTCAAATAAGAAATATCAATGGAGAATCAATACATAAACCCCACCTGGATTGACATGTCCAAAACATTCCGCTGAAATATTTTATCTTTGAACGAGCAAATTCTAGAAGGAATCAAAATAGGACTTTTTCTTTTTAAAAAAAAGGAGGATTTTAACTTTTCCATGTCGTAATATATTGGTTTTAGCTAGGATTGGTTGAAATATTAAGAGCCTTGAATATGGAGCCTGAGGGAATAGTAGGCCATTCTGTAGGCGAACTAGGATGCGCTTATGCAGACAATTGTCTCACTCTCGAACAAACCATTTTATCCTCGTATGCTCGTGGTAAAGCCTCACTGGAATCAACTCTTATCAAAGGAATGATGGCTGCTATTGGTACGTTATACTTAAAAAATTCTAATCGTTTAAGTAAATAATCACAGAAAATTACACGAAAAAAACGTAAAGACAACGTTGATAAAAAACGAGGAGTGTGTGGATTAATTTTTTTCTAAATTTGTAGTTCTTAACAATTTAGTTCACTTCCAAAAGTTACTCAAAGCCACTTATTAGACACTATTATAGACACCACCAGACCACGTATATCGGGTTGCGACGTTGTGGACTTCCTGTCATACTTCATTTTCAATTCGAAAACTGCTCAACGTCAATTCTTGAAAACCTCCGTGGTTTTCCTTCTTCGCACGATGAAATCCGTGAAAATTTCAATAACTGATATTGGATTGCTCTCCTCCAAAAAAAAAAAAAAAACAAAAAAAAAAACAAATAAATAAATAAAATAGGAGCGAAGATTGTTAAATACCGCAAAGGAGATACGTGGTCTTGTAGTCTCACCGTCGATATATTTTATCTACCCTTCTTACAGTTTTCATCTTGCCAAAAGTAAATAATCGAATTTCAACATGTTTTTACCCCCTGCAGGGCTGGGTTACAGTAAAATTGTAAGTCAGCTGCCAGAAACCATTGACGTTGCCTGTCGAAATTCGGACGAGAGTTGTACAATATCCGGGCCTGCAGCAGACGTTGAAAAGTTCGTCGCCGATCTAACGTCAAAGGGCGTTTTTGCGAGGACTGTAAATGCTGCAAACATTGCGTATCACTCCCGATACATCCGACCTGCTGCACCAAATTTACTTAAATACCTGAAAGAGGTGAGATAACCAGTAAGCGATACAGACGTTGGTCTAAAATGTCGCTGAAACATAGCGATCTTGTTTATTTTCGGAAGAGCAGTTTCCTCCTTTTTAGTGTATTTCTTCATTACCACTTCAAATCTTGTATTGTAAGAGCAAGAGTAAAATTATCTCAATCACATTAAAAATGAAAGTTGCACGGGTAATTGCATCATTGTTCTTTTTGACTGCACTAGAGTTATTCTGCTTCTCAGTGACTTGAACGCAACCTCAAAAAAGTAAACCCTAGTTACGAGAATCATTCAGAAAGTAATTTTAGTCCCCCTATTCTCTTCTCCCACATCATTGAAGTCGCACAAACCTGTAAACTTGCACTCTAAGACTTTTGACGGTGCATTTGTTTGTATTTTTTACCTGACAAGTCAGTCCGGATTTGTATCCGCTCATGATTCGCATGACAAAGACAAACGAAGGTCCATTTTATTTAAAAAACAAAAAAAAAAAAAAAAAACAATAATACGCCATTAGAAAGTTTGAAGTCCAAAATTTTAAGAAGTTTACTTTATTTTTTTAAAACTTCGCTAGATTTTCAATAAAGTAGGGAAAATTACTTCCAAAATCACTTCCATACTTGATTTCCTTTAAAGGACTCTATGCACGGACCCCCCAAATTTGCCCGTTTCAAAAGTTAACGAAATTCATACCAGTGATAGAGAGGCACTTCCAGTCTCCAAATCCGGGGTTGGTTTAGTCCCCAGCCCCCCGAGTGCGACGTTGCCATTTTTTAAAGTTGAAACATGTTAAACCCCATAACTTTTGAGCAATTAAAGATACGGAGGTGCGGTTTGTTTGAGTCGATAGAACATAAATCATTTCATATGTAGTTTTTATCCATTGTTGCCAAATTTACCCCAAAATCGACAATTTTTCGATTTTTTCAAGGTGCAAAAATACGGTTAACCTAAAAAAGTCGGTATTGGGACACCACGTAGGAAAATAAAAAACACGCGTAATTAAAGCCCTTAATGTGAGCTTTCCAACGATATATCGGTTTTTCCGGGGAAACGATTCTGTCGCGAGATACAGGCCTTCAAAGTCCGACTTGGCGTACTTCTTGGAGGTCCCGCGTCATTCCCACCTCAAAAAATTAGTATTGTGAACGCTGGCAGAAAAACGAAACTCACATGTAATGAAAGCTATTTATGTGAGCTTTTCAACAGTATATCGGTTTTTCCGGGGAAACGATTCTATCGCGAGATACAGGCCTTCAAAGTCCGACTTGGCGTACTTTTTGGAGGTCCCGCGTCATTCGCACCTCAAAAAATTAGTACTGCGCACGTCCATAGGAAAATGAAAATTACATGTAATGCAAGTCCTTTGTATGGGCTTTTCAACGGTATATTGGTTTTTCCGGGGAAACAATTTTGTCGCAAGATTCATGCATTCAATGTTCACTGTAGCGGGGTTTATAGGTACCTTGCGCGGCTTGTTTCTTCGCCCATCGTGATAGTGCACGTCCCAGGTCGTATTAAATAAGACATGAAACAGGGAACTAAATAGACAATTTTTCGATCTCGTTTATCGATTCCCTGCCTCGGAAAAATCGATGGTGTCAAACACTGAACGTGAATGAAAACACTCAGAACGCATAAAGGGTGCAAGAAAAAAGTCGCAATCTCAGGGATTGTGTTATAGGGGAGACATGATACATAAAGAAATGGATCCGTTGTCTCTGAGATTCCATTGAAGTTGTATGTTTAATATTCGTTTATTTGGTAATATACAGTTGGCAGTATGTGTCAGGTTCGTCTCTATATCTGCATCTCTCTCTGCATATCTACATCTTTCTCTCCCTGCTCGCCGATGCATGAACGGCAGCCTACTTTGATAGGAACTCCCCTGTTTCATGTAATATTCAATAGGACCTGAACTGCTACAACGAACATTCAAGGCATTTATCTCGCGACAAAAATTTTTCCCCGGAAAAACCAACATACCGTTGGAAACCCCATACAAAGGGCTTTCATTACGTGTAATTTTCATTTTCCTATGGACGTGCGCAGTACTGATTTTTTGAGGTGCGAATGACGCGGGACCTCCAAAAAGTACGCCAAGTCGGACTTTGAAGGCCTGTATCTCGCGATAGAATCGTTTCCCCGGAAAAACCGATATACTGTTGAAAAGCTCACATAAATAGCTTTCATTACATGTGAGTTTCGTTTTTCTGCCAGCGTTCACAATACTAATTTTTTGAGGTGGGAATGACGCGGGACCTCCAAGAAGTACGCCAAGTCGGACTTTGAAGGCCTGTATCTCGCGACAGAATCGTTTCCCCGGAAAAACCGATATACCGTTGGAAAGCTCACATTAAGGGCTTTAATTACGCGTGTTTTTTATTTTCCTACGTGGTGTCCCAATACCGACTTTTTTTAGGTTAACCGTATTTTTGCACCTTGAAAAAATCGAAAAATTGACGATTTTGGGGTAAATTTGGCAACAATGGATAAAAACTACATATGAAATGATAGCTCTTTTTATGTTCTATCGACTCAAACAAACCGCACCTCCGTATCTTTAATTGCTCAAAAGTTATGGGGTTTAACATGTTTCAACTTTAAAAAATGGCAACGTCGCACTCGGGGGGCTGGGGAACCCCGGATTTGGAGACCGGAAGTGCCTCTCTATCACTGGTATGAATTTCGTTAACTTTTGAAACGGGCAAATTTGGGGGGTCCGTGCATAGAGTCCTTTAGAAAAATAAACTTTTAGTCTAAACTTTTAACTTTTAGTGCATTTTCACAAACTTAGGTAGTTAACAATTCAAAAAATGTTTTCAATCGACTATTTTGCACTCCTTCTCAACTAAGTAGTTGTCAAAAAACTATGTATCTGTTCATTTTAGAATTTATTTTTTACTGAATTTTAATTCTACCTCAGGTCATTCCAGAAAAAACAGCAAGGTCAGCAAAATGGATCAGTAGTTCAGTTCCAGAGGAGAACTGGAGTTCAGATCTAGCCATCTACAGTTCTGCCGAATACCATACAAACAACCTGTTGAGTCCTGTTCTCTTTGAGGAGTCCATCAAGTTCATACCATCGGACGCTGTGTTAATCGAAATCGCACCACACGGCTTGCTCCAGGCCATTCTCAAACGAGCTATGCCAAATAAATGTACCAATATTCCACTCACTCAAAGATCTAGTCCAGACGGCGTCAAATTCCTCCTAGAAGCTATTGGACAGTAGGTTACATCCTAGTACTCCCTAGTTATTTTGAACTAATAAGTATGATCACTGGTGACCCGATTTCCATAATCAGTGCGCAAAAGATGAATCTATTATCTTTCCATCGATTAAGACCAAGTAGAATTCATTTTTACAAGAAATCATAAAAATATATAGTACGCACCTCAAGAAGAAAACAAGCGGGAAAGCTCTAGTACGTTCGTAACAGAGAAGCAATCAGCTGTTTTCTATGTAAGCGCGTTTTACAGTTCCCCAAAGAAGATGAGCACTGTTGAGATGAAAGAACTCGCACACCAAAATTTCGACTATCCATTTCGAGAAAATTACACTACCCCTAAAAAAATAAATCATAGAAAAATAATTAACGTCCTCAGTGCTTTAAAATCAAAAGCATTAAATAAAGGTATCACAGATCAATGAATTCTACATGTTAGCTAGGCCCCTCTTCGCCATCTTGTTGTTGGGCTGGTGCGTCATTTGAACGCATTGTTACTAGTATACAAGATTTTTAGGGACAGGTTGAAGTCAAAAATCGCTTCCTTTCGGCTGAGAGCTTAATATCCACATTCAAAAATCAAGCACTTATCGAAGTTCGCGTAGTATTCAGGAATAATTAAAACAAATTAAAGAAGGGGTGAGAACTACCATAAATCTCTGTCAAGGATCTAGAAAAAGATGGATGTCTCTGCTATGAACTTGCTGAAATAAAGTCAGTCTTGTACTTTTTCCACTGCGCATAAAGGCATAAAGGATATCATATAAGCTAATATTGTATCATCCGCAGGGGAGGACAGTAGGCAAAAAAGTTGTAAATGAGTTTGTTGCACTTGAATACGTAGAGAGAGTTTTTCACCGGATTCAACTAGTCTGTTTTTTTTCCATTCAACTTAGTAAAAATAAATTCACTAAGAAACGCTCCCTATACTCTGTTACCCATTTTTCCAATGGGCGCAGCAGGATCAGAGACAAGAGACCCTCCACTAGTATCTTGGCAATGGTAGAAGCTTTTACCTTCGGGACTTCAACATTCAACTGTTGACCTATCTACTTGGTTGATGCTGAGTTGTAATTTTTTGCCAACGTGCAATCAGTTTATACTTAGTTGATGGTTTACAACGTGTTGATACTTTCGTGTTGCAAACTTACTGAACTTTGGGAAACTTGTTTGGCTCATGACGTCACCCGAAGCTCATCATCCACCAAGTAAGTAAGTTAACGGCCGAAAAAATAATGATGGTTGTTGCTCCTTTATTATGGACCACTGGACAAGGTACGAATTTCAGCATTCTGATACATGTTCCTTAACTAAAATTTCACGTAAAACACGATGTGCACAACAAAAATTACCGCAATTAACTCGTAACGAAGATATTTAATGATTCATGATGCGTGAATTCAAACCACCCGCTCATGAAAACTCAATGCTCTACGTGATTCACATCGCGCGCTAAACGTTACCATGACAGTCTCTGCGATATACAAATCTGGCAACCTCAATGGTTTTGACGCTTTGGCTTAGCTACAGCAAATTACTAAAAGTTTGAACAACACCTGGTGGGAAATGAACAATGCTCGATTGAGAAGCTTGCTGAAACCGTTGTAGTGCGCGATTTGACTCAGGTAGAGCATTGAGTTTCTTGTGAGTGGGCAGCTCAAATCCCTCGTAACCAATGTGAAATAAAAACATTAATATCTTCGTTAGGAGTTGGTTTCAGTAATTTTCGTTGTGTGAATCGTGTTTTACGTAAAATTCTGGTTAAGAAACATGTATCAGATTGCTTGAATTCGTACCTTGTCTAGTGGTACATTGTCCATAAGGAAGTGTTGAATCATCGAGAGTAAAAGTTTCCACCTGTGGCCAGGAGGCCAATGGAGAGTCTCTTGTCTCTGTGCAGGACCGTCACTTATTGTTTTATTTGGTTTTTTTATAGGATGTATCTGCTTGGATACGAGCCAAATGTATCTGCTCTGTATCCACCGGTGCAATACCCCGTACCACGTGACACACACAGCCTTCAACCGTTCACAACGTGGGATCATACGGAGACGTACCGCCTTCCATACTACGTGGTAAAAATCTCACCTGATAACGATTTTAATACTTAATTACCAAAAATAGGAGAAAATATTTAATTAGAACAAACAAGGTCGCACAACATACAATTACTTTTTTTAATCAGAAGGAACTTTCATTCAGTGGCGAGGCATGAATGATCGATTATCGATTTTCCCCCATTTAAACCTGTGGTAAAGAATCGATTATTAAGGTGATTGTTGTGAAATTCCTGTTTATTGATCCTTTTTCAAAGGTTTAAATGACAGATCAATCAATACATCGCAAAGCGCGACGCGCCTTTGCTTTCTTCAAGTATATTCTGCTGAATAATGGGCGTGTTTCATAAAGGTTCAGCCACCCGAGTAAACTTGTAATATGAAAAATATTTCACAAAAGTTAAGATGAGCACATCGATGTCCATATCGTTTTTTTATCAGTTTTAATTTAAGAATTTTACGAGGAGGGATTTTGACAGAATCTCTCCCATTACCATAAGCTCTTGGCTTTGTTTGGTCCACCCTATTTGATCGTTCTCTGGAAACTTCCGGGAAAAAACCTAAAATGCATTGACCTCTTTTGATATGTACAGAAGGCCGGTAATGAAAACTTCAACCAGTCATTGTCAGGAATTATTAATTTTATTTTTACTCATATCTTTCTTTCTTATCTATATTTACAGCGAGACACATATGATCCGAGTTCCTTAGCAGTATCAGAGAAGTCTTTCACTTTAAAGAAAATTAAGAGTATATTGAAGTCATACAAGCAGAAAGAATCGCCTATTTCCCTAATTCCCTTCTTCTTGGTAAGTTGGTTTGGATTAGACAAATTTCTTCTTTTTTTAATATGTACGTCAGAATGTGCTGAAAATAATTACGCGTGGGTCAAATTGATTAAAATCACTCAAATTTTATAAGCAATTGTATTTTTTATCATATTCATCAGCATGAATTTCTTAGGCCCACGTACTAGCTCTTCGATCGATTTATTTTGCTCAAATCCATTAACTCCATCCACTCCACGGCATGCTACTTTACTTTTCAGATTGAAGTGTGGAAAACTTTTGGAGATGTAATGGAGATGGAATTTAAACAGCTTCCAGTCATGTTTGAAAATATTCAGATATATTCTGAGCTGAATTTATCGGCGGAAGGTAATACATTTTAAATTATCTAATAAAAATAAGTCAAACCATTAAATTACTTGACGTTACAATTGTTATTATGTATCGGTTCAAAACTATGTGATGTCAAAAACAAAGATCGAATTTTTTCTAAACGAAGGAGAAATAATTTAAGAGGTAGTATACTGAACATGAATGTATTGAGAGTATGATATCGATGAACCTCCAACCATATCAACACTGTGGTTGGTCGCTTCTTCGGCGTAAGTGTGGATCTGGGTACCCACATGAGCCCAGAAAGCCGTCTATTTACTTGTAAAATAGGACTCACATGGTAATTCGGCTACTTCCTTACGAAACAGAGGGGCAACAAATTATTGCGACTCTTGTTTTCATAATTCGTGAAAAATCGTGACGTAAACAGAAATTTAGAGCGACTGCTGAAAAATGTGCTTTGAAGTTTATTCTTGATATTTTTACATTGACAATGGCTGGATTATTTTATAGGGAACGCGACTAAACCATCGATTGAAGGCGAGAACAAAAACGGGGACGAAATGCAAAATCACATAAGAATTAATTAGTCGAGTGAAAAATGGTCACTTTTTTGCACTTCAATTAACTTAAAATCCGTGGACATAAACAGCCTATCTTTAGTGTGACTCATCGCTATGAGTCGCAATGCAGGCAAATTATTGGAATTGATGGATAAAGAAAAAGACAAAGAGGACAAATGGAAAATTAACGATCCTGTTGGTTGAAACAGGTGGTTGCAATGGACAAAGGTGGTAATAAATGAGAGACTAACTAACGGTGACCAATGAGAAACTCTATAGTTGTTCCATCAGCGTTGCTCTTAGTCTGTACCAACCACAAATTTCAACCTTTATGATTTCTCCATTTTCCCTTTGGCTTCTTTGTCCATAATTTTGTCTATAAATTTCAATAATCAGCCCTACGGAGATGAACCGATACCTGAGACCCGGCTGTGGCTTTAATGAAATCAGCTTGTAAGTAACTATTTTTTGCTAAACTGAGGAAGGTGAGTTCTAGAAATCTGCGTTTAAATCCCGAAACCCAGTGCTCGGCTCATTGGAAAACTGGACTTGATAACTTCTATTTCAGACCAGTTACAATCTATCTACCAGAAATTATTTTCTCCTGACTGAAAATTACTTCTTTTTCTTAGGCCTTGATCAAGTAAGGATTCAATTAATGCGTGGAAGTGGTGAATTCATCGTACTACAAGCACCCAGAGACGACACTGAAAGCGAGTTTGTCATTGAAGAACAAAAACCTATTGAAGAGAATCAAGAAATTGTGCTCATGGAAGGGAGAATCAAGATTTGGGAGCTACCAAAGAGTGAAATAAACGTTACAGAATCACCAAGCGACAAGATTAGAAGTGCCGTGAACGGTGGAACGATGGACAAATCCCTCTCTGATAACCTAGATATGATTGGTGAGATTTCAAAGAGGGGAATAATCGATTGGCAAGCGTGCTCTAAAGGTAAATTTCCCACTTTCAAGCAGCACTCAAACTCTATCATGTCATCCTATACCGGCATCATACCTTACATATTATATGATACCAGTATTCGATCACATGGGAGGTTCTGTTGCCTACGCTTAAAATTGAAGGAAAACTAACACGACGTTAAAATTAACCTTTGCCTGTTTAGTAAACAACACTTATTATGCCTTACTGTCCTAAGTGAGCTTGCCATCCAAGGATAATACCACTATTCCAGCTCTCTAGAGGTCGTGTTATCTACATTTAAAATTGAAAGCGAACTGATATACTGTTTAAGTAAGGCCTCCAGCAGCCAGGTTTTGTAAAAAGCTATTTTTTGAGCATGTTTTGAGTGAGCCTTTTCATTTCATTCTTTTTAGGGACAGTTAAAGGTGCTTGTTACTGACTATAACAAAGAAAGAGAGTTTCAGGATTTTTCTCTCTCTCTAATTCAGTTTCCCAGGAAAAAAAGAAAGAAAAAAGGAGGTTAATTTTGAGAAGATTTGACATTTAAAATAATGTCAGGCTGGAAACAAGCCAAAGTTGAAGAAGTCAAAACATCTGTTACAATACATTGGTTAAGTTACAATTTTCAATAATGTTTTCTGAAATTTGATGATTCGTTAATTTTTCTAGCTCTTTAACCCAGTACATCGTTGAGATATTAAAAGTACTGTGCATATCAAGAATTTTGTTTGACACATCAGAGAACAGAACGCAATTTCTCATGATTGGAAGTGGAATTTAACTGCTTCATTTTAGTTCACATATTCTAGACGTATTTTAAAACTTGTTTTCGCTGATTGCTTGTTTTCTTTTTCATCCAAATAGGAGCTACGGGGAAAATCGAAGTCAATTCCGACTTGGTAATTTACCTAGACACAATCATGAAATTGAACACAGTTTGGAACGCGCACGTCAGTGGCAAAGCGGCAAAACCAGTCTCAATCCAGTCCATGTACCTGAATTATGAACAAGTGGCAAACTTGAAGGAAGGTAAATTTTTAGTGCAGTTCAAACGGTCTTTTTTCTCTCAAACACTGGATAAATGTCTCCTCTGATTTTCTTAAATATTTCTTCCGCCTGTGCAAGGCCGGACCCCAAACCCGTATAACCCAAGTAGGGGGATATCATCAAAGGTTGTATGGAATCACCTATTTATCAGTGAGTTCCAAAATTGAAACGCAATCAGACCATTTCCAACCATCAACCATGTATTCCCTGAATACAGAATTTAAGATTTTAAAACGCAGCTTTAAATACATATGAGTAAATAGACACATGCTTAGGTCCGTATTTACAGTTGTTCCAGTGTTCTTTCCGACAGGTTTCCTCGTTGGTGGGATCAACTTGCACGGTAGTATTACGATAATACGTATCTCGGTTGCAATGTTTTAAAAATTTTCTTTTTCAGGGATCAGAGGATATTATTGAGCGGATATTTCAGAAAAGATTCATTAAATAGCACAGAATAACTACATTAGCTGTCTTGCCATCACTTTTATCAGTTGTGTCTGAAAAATCTATGATGTAACAGTAAATATCCAACTTCGTAGTTTTATAGTTCTTTTCATCTACAGGGTGGTCCAAACGTCCCGCACCACCCTTAAAACCAATAGAGTTCTTGCTCCTTTCAGAGTGATCCCCTTTACATTTTTGAGAGCCCAAAGGGTCGTTTTACTTTGACCTAAGAGCTCTCACAAACTTTCAAGTCTCTATTCCAATGTGTTCAAACGTTACGAGGCAGATACTTGGTGCTGGTGGTGTGGCGCTATTGGATTACCCTGCACATGGAAGGGAGACAGTGCTTCTCTTTTTGTTAAAAAAAAAAGGAAAGTTACATAAATTAGGGATGTAGGTAATTGCAGCTGGTTTTATTTATCTCCAAGAAATATTTTGGAGAAATTATACATAGTTGCAAGAAATGCAAGATGTAGTATGCAGTATCACTGGTAGTTCAGAATTTCAGCGCTGTTGCGCCTGATATTGTACCAGTATTATACTTTTTGATAAATAATTTGTATAATTATTTTATCAGACTCAACAGTTGATTTAATTTTGGACACAAGCGTGGGCCGCCTTCAAAGCGCAGGAATCACGATAAACGGTTTTAAAACTGAATCAATACCTGAAAAATCCGAAAAATTGGAAAAAGTATTCGCAGAACGTCTTAACTTCGTACCGTATGGTAAAACCGCGTTCAAGGTATGAGCCAGATTATGTATCGCCTCTCAGTAAATTGGATAAAAAATAATGATGTACTGTCGCAAGAAGTACACACTACACTTTTGATCAATATCACAAACATTTTAATTTTAATAGTTAAAGTTTAACTTCAATCTGTGCGTTTGATCAACTTTAAATAGCTCTGTAGCACATGGATATGAAAACGATTTCAAAACCACCATGGAATTTTTATGGATTTAAGTCGAATATATTCTCAGTAACAAATACTCGTATTTAAGTAATTTATGATATCCTCATTCCTCTCATTCATATGGTGTGATTTTTATTCACTCCGAAAAAAATAAAATGAAGCACAAAAGCTAAAAATAATCCTACGAACTATTTCGTCATTTTATTTGGCATGAATTTTAATTCGGACTGAAAAAATAGAATGAAAGCATACAATCACTTCTTATAATTATTACTTCATACTTATTTTCTACGAATACCTACTTTATTGTCATTTTCTTTTTGAAATGACTAACAGATTAATGGTATCATTTTTCTTTGAGGCTAATGAATCAGTAGTACATGATTTTTTTCTAAACATTCAGTTTTTTGGCCGCCTCTTGGTCATTTACTTTGATTGAGCTCGAAGATTTGTTATAATAATAATCTGTCTGATTATGATTCCCGGCAGAATTTACGAGACTTTGCACGTGCTAGTCTTCAAATTATGGCTGAAAATGCATGTCACAGTCCCGATGGTTTGAAAAAATCCATCGAAATGAAAGTTTTTGAGGAAAATGGAAATACAACCTCGAGGTCACTCGCTGACGTATTCACCAATTTCTTGCGAACTAGTGATGATTTGAATGTAAGTATTCTTCATGCTATTGCATCGTCTCATTCTTTAGATGAATATAGTTATCTTTTAAAAAAAATGGTTTTAATGGACTACTGATACCAAGTAAAAAGCGCCTCAAAGTTGATGGTATCGCTTGAATACAATACAGTCATAATCATAAGATATACGCATTTAATCAGAGGAATTTTGAAGTAAAAATGTCACTATTTACTAGAATGACTCTAAATAAGGTGGCGTTCTTTTCATAAAATGATGCCTGAAATAAAAGCTTCTTATATTTTTTGATTAGTTATTATATTTATGTTGGGAACACTACATATCATTCATGATATATCGACGGTGCAAGTCGGCAATCACATAACTCGTTTGCGGTGTCTGAAAATCTCCGCCTCGATGTTATTTTTTTGAGGGAGAACTAATTGACATCATTCCTTGAAGTCTTTGCAGAATTTTCTCCGCACAATGAAGAAAAATCATGGCAGTTTTAAAGAATTGCCGTTGAATAGTTTTCCGTTTAAAAGATAAAGTATGACAGGAAGTCTGCGACGTCGCAAACCGAGTTATGTGATTGCCGACTTGCAGTCGATATATTTGTTAACCTTATTATTAAACCTTCCCAAGTGTTGAAGGTCTGCAACGGATTTGTTGAAAAAAATGTTAATGAAAGGACGCTAGTGCTGAGGCGTATTTTTTTACTGACCAACTGCATTATATGTTTCAAGGTGGAATTTGTGCCCTCTCTTTTGTGCGCCAAAAACGGTTCTTCCTTGGGCGCCAGTCTTTTGTGCATTTCAGATCTAAAAACTATGTCACGGATACCAATGGAGGAAAGCCGTGATAACGTTCACGTGATTATAGCGGTCCCAGTCAAGATTCAGACGAAAGATATTTTAGATTCTGCTTCGAAAAGTGAACAAAACTATGCCGTGATATACGAGCAAGCATTTGGTCCTCTCCGATACGCACTTTTGAAAAAGGTTAGTAAGAAATTTAAACATGGCCAACGTACTACCGTGCTAAGGAAAAACGCCATATGAGCATTCGAATGTTGCCAAATCCTCTCAGAAAATATCTATCCAAGAAACTAGTTATGGATATTTTTCCTTTAAATTTTCGGACTTGCTATGTCAAATTTTGAACAAAATCCTCCGAAAAATCGGAGGAGAAAAACTCGTAAATTTTCCTAAAAATTCGTTGTTTTTTTAGGGAAATTTGGCAATGCCTGATGGCCATACGGCGTTCTTCCTTAGCACGGCAGCGTAAACCGCAAAAAACACGCAATAAATCTTGTTGGCATAGTAATTATTTTAATGTAGAGCCTGTTAAACCTTTTTTTAAAGACAATTTAATTAATATGAACAGAGACTTGGGCAGGGTCAAAAATGAGGTATCGCAAGATGTCTTCTTGCACTTTAATTTCCCCTTCAAAACTTAAAATCACACGTGCAATACAGTGAAAACATTGGAAATATCTTTTTAACTTTAAATAAAGTGAGAAATCAGCAATTTCCTTTCGTTGTTTCCAATTTCCTACTTGCCAACAAAGCCAAAAAACTACTGGAGTCAGATTGAAAACTCAACTCAATTTAGTCAGCACATTGAATAATGTTTTCTTCGTGCTGCATTTTATGTGGACGAGCTGATAACTAAGATATATTGAAGGGGAAAATGGAGCTTTTTGCCATGGAATGATGTGGAAGAAGTTTTTATTACGCTATCCGCAGCAAATTATGCGTAAAATTTTTTGTGAAGTTTACAGAAAAAAACCTTAAGTTTTCCAAGAAGTGCCTAATTTCTTTCAAAAAATGTAGAAAAGTGTAGATGTAGTTTTATACGCACAGATTGGCATCGCATTAAACATCTTATGCGAAAAGGCCATGGCGGAAGAGACAGTTTCAGTGAAAATCTGCTTGTTCACAAGCAGCATGTCGCGGCGTAACTTAAAACGCCTTCAATGAATCGGATAGGCACACCGAGCTCCTGGGAGGTCGAATAGTGGTATCACACCCAACAGCACATAATCATAGGATTTTAAGCGTGCTAGTAGGGTTTGCTTTTTGAAATCACTCGGATGTACCATACTAAAGCACACCGATCAACCAATGCTATTCAACGGGCCGTCCAAATATTTTTTTCCTCGGGCCCGTTTTCTTATCTTTGAACCGTTTACTGTCAAGCCCTAACGGTCTTTTACCAAAAAACCGAATGCGCTGCTAATTGGAAACCCTTGGGAACATTTTCCTGTCAAAGCCGTATTATTTCATTTGACAGAAACCTCATATGGACGTATTTCTATCAAACGGAATTATGTGCATTACGACGTGCGCCCTGTTATGCATGTATTCTTATGAGTCTCAGGGCTCATGTCTTAATGCACATAGCTTTGTTTGGCAGAAATCTGTCCATATAAGCTTTTCTACGCTCGGAGGACTCAACTTTGGAAGCTTCTTTCCCGCCAAAATTTTTTAGCCAATGAGCGTCTTGCGCTGTGAGTGCAATCTGTGATGAGCCTCGTGACTCATTATACCATGTACTAATCGTGGACCCTGTAGAAAATCACTTAAACTACTGCAGTTATCGTCAGATATCGCTTTGGATATCCGGTTTCGAGCAAGGCAATGTAAGTCGGCGCGCCGTCGAACCTTATCTTTCACGCCCGATTAACCACTCACCGTGACGCCAGGATCCACCAAATTCCACAAAAATTGTTTGCCGTCTATTTAGCGAGTGTTCCCTTACTCTCTGTTAGAATACAAATAAAAAGAGATCTCATTTGTAAAACTCGGCCGCGTAGGAAAGAAGTTACGGTTCGAAATCCAAAGAGATTAACTTGACGCGATTTCGATGTACGGCAGTTCGCCCAGATTGCGTGCGTAAATGCCGCATTTCAGCTTAAAATCAAGATAATTGGACGGAATCTTAAAAATCAATTTACATTCAACGTTCAAGAATCAATATTTTCTCCCAAATTTAGCAAAAAGTACAAATAGCAAAGACGAGAAAATAGTAGATATGTGTCCAACATTTCAGTTATTCGGCACGCTTTTCCAACATATTCATGTTGGATTTTTCTTCTTGTTTTTATTTTAAACCGCGTAGTTTTTTGCGTGCTATTTGGCAGGTAAATAAATATTTTAACTTGAATGAATTAAGTTGACTATTAATCTTCAAGCTATGTGTAAAAAGACGACACTGTACTCAACTACATATAATATTGCGAGTAGAAACTTCCATACTATGGATATTGCTTAAAGTTTACAATGTCGTTGGAAAAGATTACAAGAAACGAAGATATCCCCCTCATCAATACCATACCGTGTGTAATGTTATGTCACGCTTATTTTATTAACTGTTTTTAGGGGTGTGTTAATTGGATAATCAATGCAATCAAGTATAAATCAGTATTTTAGATGCTGGTTTGCATTTTTTTTTGTCGTGGAGAAAATATTAATTTTTAAAATTTTATTTTTTCAGAAAACCTTCGGTCAGAAACTGAAAGTCTGTCACGTGTCAAACAGAGTGATACACTCTTCGTATGCTTTGGAACTTGAAAGGAACACTGAAGATGAAAGTTTGGTTTTGGTCTTCACAAAGCCTCAGCCCAGAAATCCTGCTATCTTAGTGCGAAACATTTTAAAGAAGGCCGGAAAGAGGAAATTGAAGTACGTACTGCTCCAACGTACCGTATACATAAAGTAATATGGTTAGTAATATTTAAGTGCTGTACATAAAACAGCACTTAAATATATTAAATCAATATATGAAGAGAATATATTTAATAGTTATTAGCAATAGAGGAGGAGAGGTAGAATGATATATATATTTTACATATATTTTTATTGACGAGATCTTTTTAAATTTTAAAAATTTTACTTATTTATAATTTGTTTCATTAATATCCTTTATAATCGATATAATGCATTTAAATATTTAGTTAGTTAACTCTAGGTTAGTTAACTAAGCATCAAAGTATTATGTTTAATGAGACTTTCTAATTTTGATACCAACATCTGTTGCTTTGCTGGTAAGCGGGTCGGGTGGTTTTTTGTAAGTGAACCATGATAATAAAACCTCAAACTAAAGCCAACAACTCTAGTTGTGGCAAAAATCAGCACAGTTCTTGGTCGGCTTTGGTTACCACTGAGGATGCGAAAGTATTATTTTGGAATACACATCATCATAATTTACACATGTAAAAGGAGGGCATTATTTCTTGGGCCCGTTTTTAAAACTGACTTGTGCTTCTTGGACTCTACTGGAGGAGGCCATTCAGTGCGCAGTTGAAATTTTTGGTTGGAATAAAAATAATTTTTTTTAAAAAAGGAATTTTATTTAAATATGTATAACGTAACTACCAAAAGTATTTTCTTGTATCTATCTACATGGTTTAAAACTAAAACTAAACAAATGAGCCTCTAGACAGGGTAAGAACTGGAGGCTCTAAGCACATGAATCTGCATCAGAATTTCGCGTAGAATTCAATGGTACAAACGGGAATTCATGAAACCAACTAATAAGCGAGATATTTGCGTAAATAGACTGCGCATTTTTGTAAATCCCGCTCGCCTAATATACGAATGACGTCACATTTGTAGCCAATAGGATTGTCGCAGCGCTGCGCAGCGCCGACTGAGCATCGGCCATCGAAAACGTCCAACGCTCCCAACGCCGGGATCGTAAACAAACGAAAATTGATAACAGGAAGGACCCAAGCACCCAAGCAACTCGAAATCTTCTAATTTTCATTAATTACAGTCCATGTTCGACTTCAAGAAAGCATTTGACAACCATTTTCCTCGTATTTTATAACCTGGAGCCACAGCCTATCGGCTCATTGTAATGTGCACTCTGAGAATCAGTTCCACAAGTCCAAACCCTGACATTCTTTTCTTTGACCATTCTATTTTCATTCTCGCCACAATTTAAGTGTTATGCAGTTTCTTTATCTAAAATATGTGGTCTTGAATTCATTCAGGAGTCAGAAGTTTACCTTTCTTTTAGTATTACAGCCCTTTGACCCCTCAAACTTCACCGATATGACCTCATGTAGTTCAAGGTTTCTCTGGCCCGAACCGAGTGATTACACATCTGAGGTGTGTCTCATGGTTCTTCAAATTAGCAGTTTAGAACTAAATTAGGGACTACAGTGACTCAATCCAGTTCTGCTTTCTTGTTCAATGTTTGTTATCAGTGTCTGTTCTTTTTCGTGACCAATCTAGTGCGTGCACTGTTACGCTATAAGTACAGGTATTATTGCTTTTTTCCTGCTGTCAGACCTTTTTCTTAAGCCTGCTGATTCACCACAGAATCTGCCCTAGTTGTGTAAATAATTTGGTGTGTAGTTATTGAGTTAATACCTCCTTGCGGTGATGCAAACTTTCTCAGATCCGTCATAAGTGGGTATTGCATTTAGACGATCACTCGGACCAGATGAAATCACTGCCCTAGCAGCTTCAAATTTATACTTTGATCTCTGATTCACTAATAAATAACACTTTATGGTGTCATTTATATTTAATCAGTTCAAAGCTAATTTGACAATGAATCACCAATGGACCGATCGAAAAAGGAACTTTCTGGTGCGTGCTATGGCTGAATCGACACTACATTCAATTTTCGAAAGCTTCAATCAGGACATGACCATCCGTCTCGAAGTGAAAATATTTTTCAACCATTCGAGTAGTTCAAAAGGTAAGATATCTGAAGTTACTAAGGTATCACCAGGGTACATATGGATCTGTTGTTGGACAGTTAGTGTGAGTATGCTTACGTCTGTGGATAATCATTCATGGCAAAAAGAGGATGTTAATGACAAGGCTAAACTGGGAAACCACTTACCTAAATTCACAAAGTTTCAGACTTCCTGTTCCTCTTAATTTCTCAATTAAAAAATCATTCAACAAAATCTCTGAAATGTGATATTTTTCCTCTACATGGGCAGAAAATTCAGTAATTAATTCAAACAATATGCTGACTTGCTTCCCTTTGAAAATCTGAACTGTATGTAGAAAGTTTGAGCAACGTATTCAGGATATGTAATTTACACGTTTTGCAAATGATACCTATGTTTGGCCATTAGATTGGTTTGAGAAGTAAATGTTACAAATGTCATCCCTGGTCAATCTGAACTGTTTTTCCCAACTTGTTTTCATGGTGGGATGTAATTCTATGACTTTTCGAGATCCTTTCATCTTTCGGTACCTGAAAAATTCAGTGAACCAAACGACTTTCAATAGGAATCGTTGGCAACTTTACCATTGAAATGATTCTTAGGTGATTTTGAATGGAACAATCTTACACAAACTTTTGTTGAGCAGGTTTTACTCGCCCTGAATTCTTAAAAGAGAGGAAAAATATTTTCTTAACGCTTGGAGGATGATCTAACTATGTTGCAGGTAAGTAGGTGTGATCACTTCATTTCATGAAATTCAGTAAGGCTCGTCGCTGCATGAAACACATAAAACATACTGATTAAGAAATGAATCCTCAAATAATTAGCAACTGTTTTGTGCAATATCTGTTGATTAGCATTTGATGATAACTAGAATACAAAAATTCTGAAATTAAGAAACCAGGAATAAATAACTACCAGAATGGTCTTATCAGATTTTCTCTGAGACAAATTTCCATATTCATTGATGAAGTGTAGCGTGCATTTGAATTCACAATGTTTGGAATTTCCAATAGCATTTAAGGCCTGAGGCACAATTCCTTATCTTTTAAAGCAGGGAAGACACCTTGGACCCTCCATCATTCGTAACTCACAGCTTTCAGATTGGTTCAGTCATGTCTTCGAGCAGAAAAGCCCTTTAAATGACCAATTTCCACAATTTTATAACTTCACCCACTTGAGATGTTGTATTCCTCTTTAGATATATGGAAGGAGAGTATATTCTGAAATTTACAGGACACACATCTCTTCAGAAATAGGAGAGTGCTAACATAATTATTACTTACCAAGTACCAGTTCCTGATGAATTTTTTTAAGGTTCATGCTTTCGAAAGTTGAGTTGTAGGTAATGTCGATTCAGCCGTAGCACACACCAGAAAGTTTCTTTTTCGATCGGTCCATTGATGATTCATTGTCGAATTAGCTTTGAACTGATTAAATATAAATGACACCATAAAGTGTTATTTATTAGTGAATCAGAGATCAAAGTATAAATTTGAAGCTGCTAGGGCAGTGATTTCATCTGGTCCGAGTGATCGTCTAAATGCAATACCCACTTATGACGGATCTGAGAAAGTTTGCATCACCGCAAGGAGGTATTAACTCAATAACTACACACCAAATTATTTACACAACTAGGGCAGATTCTGTGGTGAATCAGCAGGCTTAAGAAAAAGGTCTGACAGCAGGAAAAAAGCAATAATACCTGTACTTATAGCGTAACAGTGCACGCACTAGATTGGTCACGAAAAAGAACAGACACTGATAACAAACATTGAACAAGAAAGCAGAACTGGATTGAGTCACTGTAGTCCCTAATTTAGTTCTAAACTGCTAATTTGAAGAACCATGAGACACACCTCAGATGTGTAATCACTCGGTTCGGGCCAGAGAAACCTTGAACTACATGAGGTCATATCGGTGAAGTTTGAGGGGTCAAAGGGCTGTAATACTAAAAGAAAGGTAAACTTCTGACTCCTGAATGAATTCAAGACCACATATTTTAGATAAAGAAACTGCATAACACTTAAATTGTGGCGAGAATGAAAATAGAATGGTCAAAGAAAAGAATGTCAGGGTTTGGACTTGTGGAACTGATTCTCAGAGTGCACATTACAATGAGCCGATAGGCTGTGGCTCCAGGTTATAAAATACGAGGAAAATGGTTGTCAAATGCTTTCTTGAAGTCGAACATGGACTGTAATTAATGAAAATTAGAAGATTTCGAGTTGCTTGGGTGCTTGGGTCCTTCCTGTTATCAATTTTCGTTTGTTTACGATCCCGGCGTTGGGAGCGTTGGACGTTTTCGATGGCCGATGCTCAGTCGGCGCTGCGCAGCGCTGCGACAATCCTATTGGCTACAAATGTGACGTCATTCGTATATTAGGCGAGCGGGATTTACAAAAATGCGCAGTCTATTTACGCAAATATCTCGCTTATTAGTTGGTTTCATGAATTCCCGTTTGTACCATTGAATTCTACGCGAAATTCTGATGCAGATTCATGTGCTTAGAGCCTCCAGTTCTTACCCTGTCTAGAGGCTCATTGCATTAATTTTACATGGTAACGTTATATGATACGATGATTAAAAAAAAAATGAATATTGCGTAATAATTTTCTCCTTCTTCTTGATTTCTATTGATGCTCAGATTTTTCTTCTTACTCGACGACGACGCACCACCATTCTCTCTCACTGAGAAGGTCTATCAGGAACAGTTGGATAGAGATGTGGTTGTAAACGTAATGAAAAACGGGAGATGGGGCAGTTTTCTTGGAACCCCGCTTCAAACGCCAGCCCACAAAGACGTGGCACAAATCTTGTCCAATGTCAATCACGTGTCAAAGGAAGTTGACATTCGATATGTCGGCTTAAACCCTGGCAGTTGTAGAACGAAGGTATTCTTCAAAATATTTCTATTAAACAGTAAGTTGGAATCTATTAGCCAATGTGCGTTAAAAATCCAGAAAACTGGGAATCATAATGCAGAGGAGAAAAACTCTTTCTCCTGGCTCATTATGTTCTAAAATACGTTTTTAGAGCCCTTTCAGTTGATAAAAAATACCGTCAAATGATGTGATGAAGGGTGATAGACTCCATGCACTTTGTGTGGTTTTTTATTTCTTTGATTTAAAGTAGAGTCAATTGACCATAGATAAAATATGAATTCAAGTTTTCTGGTGCAGGTTTTGGAACTAAAATTTCACGTAAAACACGATTTACGTAAAATATAGACCTAAGTAAGATATGCACATTTTAGTTTACATTGGTGACGCGAACTTTTAATTCCCCGCTCATGCAAACGAGACACATGTAGTAGTCCTCTTGAATCAAATCACGCACTACAAAGGAGTTGTTTTTCTACTCTAGGAGACGCCAGCCGTTTTGGATTACTCTGGGGTCACTTCAACAGGTTGCCATGTGATTGGCATTGCCCAAAAATATGAAGGTTTCAAAAGCAAAATGTCCCTGGATCCTGTTTTCCAGTGGGCCGTTCCAGACACTCTTCCATTAGACGAGGCAGCTACTCTTCCATCTGCGTATTTGATGGTTTGTTTTGATTTTTTGTAGAAAATTAGCCCAGTTCCAAAGTCCAAACATTGAATTCATTGCTGAATTACGATTGAAATATTTTAAGATTGTAATTTCTTATCTTTCATATTTTCAAGAGTGTTTAACCATAAAGCAAAATTATATTTTTCAACACACTATGCAAAATTGTATTCTTTAAAAACATATTAACGGTATATTTTTTACCTACAGTAAAGAGTGTTTTAGCGTTTGTATAAAAATACGAGTAGCTTTTCTTGTAATTTTGGCGAGTCAAACCATGTCAGCTTAACTGTATTTTTTTTAACTTGACCCAAACTACCGATGTAGTGTTCAAAGTTTCAACTCAATTATTTCCTTTACTGTTCTTTCAGGCGCATGCAATCATGGATCAGATCCTCATAGTTCCAACTAAAAAGGCGGCTCTTATAATGAATGGTCAAACACCCGTTGGCATGGCTTGCATATCCCTTTGTTTGGAAATGAATTACAACATTTACACCACCATTCCCAACGAGGCAGCTTTGCAAACTGTATCCAGGACATTCCCTCAGGTTTGTACCTCCTAAGAATCTTCAAAACTCATCAAAATATCAACGTATTTGGTTGAGTTGTTCGGTTAAAGTGAGTTTTTTTTTATATTTTTTCTAACAAGAAAAACGTGAAGATCAAAGAATATTAAAAATCAATAATTTACTCTGAGTGAATAGCCGGCGTGAAAAAAAAAAAACAAGCAGTGAACTCCAACACAAAGTGTTGATAAGGCGCGTCATTAACTCGCACATATCAGCCCCTTTAGTTTTCATTTACAGAGATTTCAAAAAAGGCAAACAGCACAACAAGAGAATTCACGATCCAACACTGCAAGGTCAACGCGTACCTTGACGAGACCGTGTGTTGTGAATCTAGAAAGCTATTCGAACAAATTTAAGTTTTTTGATCTGCCTCAAGCAAAATCTTATCAGGTTCTTGAAGAAAAGTGCTGCGGAATAATTTAAGCGAAGAAAGGAAAAATTCTTTCGAACTCCTAGAAGATAAAGTCGATTTAAAGGTCTTTTTGGGGCTAAAATATCCAAATCACCGGTACCTATTGTAAATCCCGATATATTATTGAAAAGAAATTGACTCGATATAAATGCAATTGCATTAAATATATCTTGATTTTGTTATTTTAAACGTATTTCCATGCGAAGAAATTCAACCATGTCCATGCTTTATTCATTCATGAATTGAAAGTAACAATGCACATCCCGAAAATCTACCGATTTGCCGTAAAAAATCGCAGAAACTTGATATACCAGGTCGATGCACTCACTCGTTGAATTTACCAACCAATTTCGTGGGTGCAAATATATAAAAATCAATATGCTATAGTCATTTTGGGTGCATTTATTTTTCATGAAACAATAATAATTTCAATCCCGAAAAATCATAAATTTTCCGTATAAAATCGAAAAAATCAAAATATGTCGACTCCCTGACGTGAAAATTAAATTCTACGTGTGAAAACACTTATGTATCGATATGCTGAACAGAATGCCCGCCTCTCCTCGTAATTTACAAACCATTCCTATACTCATCTCAAAATTTTTCTCAGAGCTTTGTGTTATTATCAGCTTCCATTTAAACCCCGGTTTGATGGCCGAATCGGCTGCCCAAAAAGCAAGCCATTTTTGAAGGGCTCTATGAGAAATTCGTGATATTATCAGCTCTCAGGAAATCACCCCATGGGTAAAATTGCTGGTATAAATTTTCGAGTGCTTAAAATAATCGTATTCAAGAAACTAAGGCATTAAACTATGGAGTCAATTTCGTTTTAATAATATAACGGGATTTACTTGTCTTCAGGTCAAAACTCATACAAGGAAGCCCCTTGCAAGAGGCTAATTTTTTGTAATTTCACTCAATTTTTTCTCCTTTTTATAATTGAATTGCTTGTCTCATTCTGAGGTCAATCATATTAAATTGTAATTTATACATTTCTTTTTTTCCCCCTTCATTTTATTTTTTGTTTGGAGAAGTTTTGTTGATTTCTTCGGATTTCGAATACTGTAACTTCTCTTCTATTTGGCCGATTTTTATGAATGAAACCTTTTTTAATTCGTGTTTTAACGGAGAGTAAGGAAAAAATTGCTAAAAACTCGCGAAACAATTTTTTTTGAAAATTGGACGAATCCTAGCGTGACGGTGAAATGGTTAATGAAGCGTAAGTAATTGGGCGAGGGGCTGAGGATCCCGGCCTCGCTTGGCGACCGTCATTAGCTATTGTTCGTCGAGACGCCGACGCAGTGATCAGGAGCGTAGGGAAGAGAGGGGTAAGTGGATTCCTGTATGAGCCACGTTTAGCTAATGGTCTAATGAGTCTCGAGGCTCATCACAGATTGCACTTACACAGATTGCACTATCAGAGCACGGGTACCAACTTTTGAAAAGTATAACAGAGGTTTGGAGATCTGTCAAAGCAACGTTTTGAACAAAACGGAGGAGTTAAATTCTCATTCCGAGAGTGCCAACCTGCTCAGCCATCCTCGAATCAGTTCGCTTGATTCTGCTTATATATGCATATTTTAAATCAGCGCGTCGCATTCTTAGGCTTTTTTTAAAAAAACCAAGTAACGTAGACTCTTGGTATTCACTGCACATAAACTAGAAAGCCCCAGAATGAGAAACAACTTTAAATCATAATTATTGATGGAAAAATAAACTTTTTACACGCTTTGGAAAATCTCAGAAGTTCGCGGTAGTCACTTTTCGGTAAGGAACTAAGGGACTCGGTTATTGTATCGAGCAGGGTTCGAAACGATCGCAAAGGCGGTATACTACGTATACGCGCCAAAAATCCAGCGCAAATTTCGCGCCGTACTTTGAGTGAATAGATCAGAACGTAAATATCACCAACGACGGATGCAATTTGGAACTACAATGTCTAGCGTAGTTTCTAACGGACGTATACATATACCGTCAATTTTCGTATGCACATAAGTGTTTTTAAAGATGAGCCAGTTTTCGTAATTCTGAATCGCAAAACTTAGTCCATATATATCCTTTTTTGTTCCAGATCCCACTATCAAACATCACAAACCATAACAGCGAGGACTTCTATGTTCCGCTGATGTTTGGAACGGGCGGAACAGGAGCCGATATCATCGTGAGCGACTTGCCGCGCAGACAGATGCTCTCGGCCTGGAAATGCATCGGTAAATACGGTTGCTTCATTAACCTAAATGAGGAGACGATGCACCACAATGCACCCCTACCCATGGGCAGGTTCAATGACAGCAACGGCTACTACAGTTTCGAGCTATCTCGAATCCTACGATTGCCTGAGGAGCGAAAATTTCATCTCCACACTAAAGTTAATGAAAGTATCTCATCAAGGCGCGTGGTTAGGATGCCCCATCAATCGATGGACCTCAGTGACCTAAGCCAGTTACAAAGGTGAATGATGCTTGCATAAAAGTATGTATTATGATTCCTTAAGAGAGTGGATTTCATATCTTTTTTTTTTTTTGCTGCATAAGGACGTAAATCCATTGCAGAGTTTTAAAATTGCCAGGAATTGTCTATTTTTTTATGGATGGACAGCTGAGTTCATTTCTTGTGAAAAGAATCTAACATTTTTCTCTTGCGACTGATCCAATACAATTTGCGACATCATTCTCTCGAATATGTCAGGAAAGGATCCGACAAGGATGAAATTTGTTGTGGCAATTTCAGAACATATAACGCCTTTGTGCAGACACAAGATTTTATAAGACGAAAGTCAGAAATGCAGATTGATCCTACTTAAAATAATCTTCGTTGCTTGAATCTCCTTTAAAATTCTGAAAACACAGTTCAATATCTATCGGAAATTGTTGTACAATACTCTGCAAGCTGTATTAATATTTAGCGACGCTAGACACTGCAAAATATAGATTTACTTGGCGCTTTTGCTTTCATAGTGTGATTTTCCCGGTGTACAAAGGTCTCACACCTAGCTATGTAAGACAACTTATTCTTCTTATCAGAAATTGTGCTTGTAAGAAAATACGGTATCTTTAATTCGGAGTATTTTTCGAATAATTAAAGAAAAAAAACAGAAACAAAAGAACAAAAAATGAAGAAAAATTGCAAAATTTAATAATCAAATAACAGGGAATCGATTTTAATACACGTTTTTACTTTATGTAATTTTTCCTCATTTTTTGTCCGTTATCAAGGTACGTTGACAAAGTAACGGAACAGGGCGGAAAACTGCTGTTAGACGTCAGTAGGAATCACACAGCCAATACAATCCGAGCATCAATTTTAAATGACAAATGTGCGGAGCAGAGTGAATGGATCGCTGATACGAAGTCCCAAACCTCCGTCGTCATTTTAGGTAAATTCTTTTAGGAGTACTACCGAGCATAATAGAATATTCAGAATATATAACGTGCAATTCAATTGCATCTATCCAGCAGACACGAACGAACAAACACAAAATTTAGTTTAATGATTTTAACTTCCGCCGCCGCGCCGCGCCGACCGCACCGTGTTTGGCGCAATGCGTGAAGTATTCACGCAGTCTTGTAGGCGCTAAGCGTTTTACGCTGACCGCACTGTGTTTGGCGCAATGCGTGAAGTATTCATGCATTCTTGTAGGCGCTATCCGTTTCACGCTGACCACAATAACCGCACTGTGTTTGATGCAATGCGTGAAGTATTCGAGCAGTCTTGTAGGCGCTAATATGTGTTACATGCCGATTGCTACGTCGAGGGCTTCTCCTTTTCATCTCAAGTCCTCGTCATCATTTCTCGCTAATTCGCGCCGTTCCAGGCCAAATTGTGTGTTTGGTTTCTCTCCTGACTCGACTAATTAAAGGTGCTGTCTCTTGTATCACTGGAAGACGACAAAATTAGAAATTACTATACTCTCAGGAAATGAGAGATTTTGTAGCCTTTTCTCGTTTGTAATTTTTTTCCTAAATCCGATTTTTTTATACCTACATTTAAAAAAATTGCAAAATTTTCCGCCCCCTAGATTTGCCATGGGCCGCGGCCCATGTGGCCACCCCCTTAATCCGGCCCTGCAATTCAGTCCAAAAAAATGTTCGCATTCTCTCTTCTAGGATCCAAACCCGACGAAGGAAAGGATCTTTGACGTAGAGTCAAACGCGTTGACCTCTAGGCACGCGTGTCTGGCTAGTGAGAAATTTAATGTATAATACAGGGCGATGCAATCATATTGGTTTTTTTTTTTTTTTAAATTGCAGGCTCAAGCGCCGGAAAAGTGGTCAATTTGGTTCAATGGTTATTGGATCGCGAGGTGAAAAATATAGTTCTATCCGTCCTGGACGCGAATGATAAAAAAGAAGCAGTTCGAAAAATCCACGAATCCTCGTCCAAACATGAGGCAACCTTACTCATGACGTCAGCTAAAGTTGCCCACACCATCGCCGGATTAGAGAATATTTTAAACCAGGCCAGAAGATTAGGGAAAATCACAGCAGTGTTCACCGTTTCACTGGTAAAAGCTCTTATGATATGTTTATTATTATTATTATTTGTAAATAAGCAGATCTTGTCAGAAAGGAATCAACTGTTTTGACTCATATTAAAGAAACCCACACATATATCATTTGTTTTGCTATAATACAAAGGCTGAAAAACAAAAAAAATGAAGTCAGCCAGCGGGCTGATTGTTGAAATTTATAGACAAGGCTATAGACAAAGAAGACAAAAGATAAATGGAGGGACCCTATTGGTGGAAGCGGGTGGTTGCAATTAATGGACAAAGAAGGTAGATACTAGACTAACTAACAGCAACCCACGAGAGACCCGATAATTAATCCATCATTTTCTCCCTTGATCTATAAGAACCAACCGTTTAAACCAATAGGATCGCTCCATACTCCCTATGTCTTCTTAGTCTATCGCTTTGTCCATCAATTTCAACAATCAGCCCGCTGGAGCCTTGAGATATTGCTAAGAATGTATGTAATTAAAGATCAACTGGGCGTGCTTCTGCTGAACGAAACGGTAGGGACGAGTGGAAAATATGGAGTGTGCTCCCGGTGAGCTGGATAAGAAACTTGTAAAAGTGGGAGTGATTTCCTTTTATGGAAATGGAAAAACGGGATTTCTCATTTAAAAAAGAAAAGAAACTAACTACCGACTGTCTGCTAACTCATGCGCCGAGGGCATCTGACAAGAACGTTGTGCACAGGGCTCATGGGTTAAAAATTCGGCAACGAGGCGTCGTCGCCGCTGACGTCACTGGCTCTTTATAATTCTCATTTATTTTTACCACCACCCTAATTAACAAGCGCACCCCTTCTTCCCCTCTGTACATAGTTCTGTTTAGCAGAAACACGTCCAAATATTCTTCGAAAGCATTCAGAGTTTCGGTTTTTAATCTCATGAAAATGTGTATGTTGGGTTGATTATTAATTAAATATCATTGCAGAGGTAATTTGTTAATTAATCAATGGTTTTAAGTGGTGCATGGTGAGCAAAGCGTTTTCAAAATATCAACGAGTCCGCAAAAATGACTCGTAGTTTTGTCATGATTTCCTAAGTTTTTGGCTCCTAAGTTTTCAGACGATAAAAATCGTCTCTTCTTTTTACTTTTATTGCCTGGACCTATTTTTACTCTCATTTTGATTTTGATTTGGGCAGGATGAAAATGACAAAATTCTATCCAGTATTCAGAATATAAGGAAGAATTTGTCCGAGGATTACACTCTGATCAATATAAATGGAGACACTGATAATTATGCGGTTGAAAATGCAGTGACAATTATTTGTGACGACGAAGTGGATTACTCCCCCGTTCTCAGCCAGGTGTTGACCGATCCTGATCAAAAGGCAACTTATGTCGTTTCTAATAAAAACACATGCGGAGAAAACGAAACTGGTGAGCATAACAACCATGCCAAGGGTCATTATCTTCTGTTCTCAACGAAAGTCGCAGGAAACAAATTCGACGACGAAGCTATAAAAAGTACGGACCCCACTCTGTGATATTACAAAATGTCCTTCAGCATTGACATTGAGCTATGCCATTTTCTGAAAAAATCAATCATTTGAACCATGGTCTATTTATGGGAAAAATTATGAAGAATTTAAATTATTTAAAACCTTTTTAACGCATACAGACTGTTCTGGTAAAAAAAAAAAAACAGTCAAACTCATTTTTAAAGCTGTATGCTAATCTCTTTAGGACGCACTGATGACTACAGTTTTTGTTTTCACAGCCGTAAATGTGAAAGAACCGCTGAGCGACTATCTACCTTCCTCTCTGCGAGAACTGGAGGACATGGGACATCTCTTAAGTCAGAAAGATTTTGAATTGGGATCTCAGACTTCCGCCACATTTATAAGAACTGCATCTTTAGCGGCTGATATGTCGGATCTGAAGCACAGTGAGGCTCTCCCTGTCTTCTTCATTCCAGCTTTCTGTGAGACTCAGCTGAGGCCTTTGATCTCCAAGCTCATTTACCCTTGCTATGTTGCTCACATGCGTCCTGATGTAATGTCCGCTTGGAACATTGCAGACCAACTTTTTGAGGTTAGAATATTTATTCATTTTTTCACTGTAAAACGACTACTAATATACTGTTTTTATAGCGCTTCTGCGATACCTTACCACCACTGAGAGCGATCCTGTTAGAGCTCCTCCGGCAAATCGCATTTCCTCATTTCCTGCTTTCCGGCTCCATAAACGGTCCTAGGAAATTCCTCAAGCAACTGAGATGGATTTAAATGGGCTCGGATCGGCTGGAGTATGAGAATTTGGTACATAATGAAAGGATACTTGGAATTATGACCGTCAAAAACAACATCAAGCATGATATTTCCACAAAACAACTTGTCTGAATGACTGATCGAATTAAATAATGAGAAAGGCCGTTTTTCCTCAATGAATTGTTTTTTTATGTTCACAGTCTATTAAGAAAATTCAAAGAAGAGGCCCCTACACGATTGTCAGCGAGACCTGGAGCGGAGGTTTGGCAACGCTTCTAGCAAATCTCTTAAGCAAGTCTAGCCAAGCAGTTTCCCTATTTATTCTACAGGGAGTTCCAACGAAGATGTGCTCTCTGTTACCTCTTGAAGAATCCTTGGAAGTTTGCCTGATTAAGGCTCTTTACGAACTTATTCAAAAGGTAAGAAAACTATTGCCACTTGTCAGTAGCGTGGCGTGAATTGCGATGTATCGATTGTTATGCTATTTAAACCTATGGTGAAGAATCGATTATTAAGGTGTTCGCTGCGAACACCCTGTCTATCGATCCTTTTCCATAGGTTTCCATAGGCGCAAAACTCGCGCCGGATCCATGAACTCAGAGTAACAAGTGATAGACTACAAAAACCCTCAAAAACATTTTTCGGGCAAAAAATCCGGTCGAGGAAATTGACGTGTCACTTCCTTTTCAAGTATAAGATTGGCAAAAACCTTTGATGAATTCCCAAGGTCCACTAAGACTAATAATCATCAAAAAGTTCCAAAAAAAAAATAAATCCCTTGCCAAAAATAAATAAAAAAAAACCGATTTTGAGATAAATCCCTCGAATGAACTTGAAATCACAAAATCGGTCGAGGATGTCAACTGAAACTTTTCCCCCTTTAATTATGAGCTCCGCAACAAGCGTGACTCGCTTGTACCTTTTCATACACGAGCCGCACGAATTCATCTCTTCTTCTCTCCTCTCCTTCCGTCCATGGACAGAGGTCCAAAATTTTTCGGATTTACTGACGCGACCGGCTGCGGCTCGATGCTCTCAGTGAATCGGTGCCTTCTTATCATCCCTGATGTCGGCTTCAAGTCGGTTGCAATTTCACCAGTCGACCCATTTTTCCATAACCACATGTTAGACTTTTTCGAAACCTGATTCATCTGAAACATGGATTTTTTTTTTAAGGGAGCTTACCATTTGCTTTGGACGGTAGGTAGGTTGTAAGTAATAATTGTTCTTATACGCTATCAGTTAAGTATAAAATACATCTGTACCATTGGATGACATTTCGACAGACACGTTAGGTCCGGACAAGTGAGGGGATTTCTGAATCGCAAAATTATTAGTGGAATTGTTATAGTGGAGGAGTTGAGTCCCTTCACGGAATGAGCCCCACTTAAGTCGACAGGTTGTACGTGTTTCTCTCTGACTTATGTGTAATCTTAGTATAATCCACCCATGTTTACGCACCGAGCCGCAGCCGGTCGCGTCCGTAAATCCGAAAAATTTTGGACCTCTGTCCATGGACGGAAGGAGAGGAGAGAAGAAGAGATGAATTCGTGCGGCTCGTGTATGAAAAGGTACAAGCGAGTCACGCTTGTTGCGGAGCTCATAATTAAAGGGGGAAAAGTTTCAGTTGACATCCTCGACCGATTTTGTGATTTCAAGTTCATTCGAGGGATTTATCTCAAAATCGGTTTTTTTTATTTATTTTTGGCAAGGGATTTATTTTTTTTTTGGAACTTTTTGATGATTATTAGTCTTAGTGGACCTTGGGAATTCATCAAAGGTTTTTGCCTATCTTATACTTGAAAAGGAAGTGACACGTCAATTTCCTCGACCGGATTTTTTGCCCGAAAAATGTTTTTGAGGGTTTTTGTAGTTTATATCAGGTCGTTTTTGGGTGAATAAGTACCTAAAGGTCTGGCTGAACGAAGAACTAGCAAAACCGAAGCGTCGAAAAAACACAAGCAGTGTTGTTGATTTCTCCATAAGCCACCATGTTAGAATGCCGGTTTGGTTCACACTTTGTATAAGTCAGAAATTAAATCCCTATATGAATAAAATCCAGGAGTAACATACATGAATGGATTTATTATGGCTTTGACCATCTATTTATAGCAAAATTTACACAAATTAATATCGATTGACTTAAAAAATGTCGAAAAAACACAAGCAGTCGTTGCTTTTCCCGTAAGCCGCCGTGATAAGAAATGCTTGTCGGTTCACACTTGGTTTAAGTCTCAATTTACTTCCTTTTTGGAATATTATTCAAGAGTATGATACATTAATGGATTCACTATGGCTTTAACTACCCGTTTACAGCAAAATTTGCAAAAATTAATGATGATTGAATTAAAAATGTCGAAAAAACACAAGTAGTTCTTGATTTCTCCATAAGCCACAATGATGATAAGTGCCGTCGGGTTCACACAGCGCCTACTGGTGGAGAAAAGTGAAAGTGAAAACTAGGGTTTCGGCGTTAGCCGCGAGAGAGCGCACCAATGCTGATTCTGAAACGAATCTGCAGGTGTTCGTTGGTTCATGGTTGAGAAGTAACTCTAACTGCATCATGAAGAATGTGGCCACCACAATTGAGTCCTTATTTTTACTGAACTTCAGACAGTGGGAAACGCACACAGAACTGTTGTCAAATTAAATGATGTTTTTAATTAATAATAATGGAAATATCGTGATCTTTTTATCCAAAGGAGTGATGCCAAATCACGGATCGGTTGGGAACAATTGAATCTATGAATCGCTGCATTGCAGCTAGTGTCCTTTGTCCACCCAATGACAAAAAATTATGTTGGTACCTGCACTTGGTAATTGGTATAAAGATTGACAACTGACTTGACCTATTTAATTTATTATCTTATGTGTTCTTAATGCAGTAAATAAGTCTGGAGATCTAAGTATTGGCATGAGTTCATTAGAAAAAAAGGCTTATCTGAATGTGAGAGGCCAAAGCGGTACTTACGGTCACCATACCTGGGTTCGTAGGCTCACCCTCGTACCTACTGAGACGGCAATCTCCATCTCTTGATCGGAGGATATGCCGCACCTAGTTGGTAAGAGTGGAGAGGCATTTATGATTACATTGATACCATGGAGTCTAATTGTATTTAGCCTTGATTAACACGATCACGCTTATTGCAATGGAACTAGACAGGAACACGTACCTACGTATCTTAATACTGAAGTCCTCTAAACAGATGGGCGATACATTCTGTTACTCTTTTAAATAGAGGAGGGATGGACGCACCCATTTCACACAGCAATTTATGCAAGAAAATGAAGCCTTCATTGTATTTTTATCATCAACTTATGAAATTATGAGAATAAAACGGGTACATACCTTTCATTAAAGACCTTGTTATACATTGTTGGGCAAAATGAAGTTTCTAACAACTCCTGACGCAAAATCAAAGAGACTCAGAAGAAACCAATTTGAGCAAATGCTCACAGTCAAAGACCTTTGATTATGTGACATTAAGTTGACCTATGATTGAACTGTTTCGAAAAGGGATGGAATTGTGCCTCACATACTCAGGTTCGCAAGCCACGCGTAACAAGAACGGTAGAAGAGATAGGAGGATTCCAAGATAAATCATGAAGGAAACATGTTCTTAATGTAAATAACATACACTTCAGAGAAGCATAATCACTCCAGAGCACATAGGTTGATGGCAAGATATAGAGCGAATAAATTTTGGTCGAAGTTCAGTGACAGTCGCATGTGAAGGCCGAGGCTCATATTCCAGTAATTTTTAGACTTTAGTCACGAGCATGCATTCTGTGATGTAAATGCTGCTTCCTCTTTAGAGTTTGGCACAATTTCGGTGTAATTTCGTTAACGTAATTTACCTGAATTACATCTATCGCTTAGGTCAGGTACTGACATAAACATGACGACATAACCTCACTTAAAAATTTGTCACATTTTCGTTCAATAAAATAAAGATACCACTTGAAAATTTTAAGAGAAACTAAGGTAATAGTATATCGGGCTCCAGTAGAACACGTGAGACGTAATAATATGAGTATGTAAATATAGTAGTTAGCATCTACAAAGAATTAAACTCTTATCCAAATTAGGTAAATCTATTCACAACTAGTTAAAGAGGTTGGCAACGACCGACCAGAAATCACTTGAGATTTTTAAGAAACCAATGAAGTAGTGTATCGGGATAAAAGTGGGCGTAATAATATAAGTGTGTAATATTAGTTAGGATCTAAAATGAATTGAACTTTTAAATTACATCTGTTCATTATTCACAAATAAATACAGTAGATGGAGGTTCATAACGACGACAGGAATTTCGTTCCCGAAACTCGGACGAACCTGAACAGAATGAACCAATGGCGTTGAACCATTATATTACTGGTTTTTTTCTAAATTCAAAAATTATAGCTAAAATTTTGAAGGATGTAAGCGGATGCTGGATTATCCGTGAGATAAAGCGCTTTTTTATGTGGCAAAATGAAATCCTCACATCTTCACGGAGTGCCCTTTATATAGGCTCCATTACAATCCGCGGCCGGGTAAGCGAGAAATCTGTTGTTAAAGATGGTCATGACGGGCAGTTTAGTCGTATTTTCCGTAATTTCTCTTTAAGATCACTAGGAATGTTACAAAACTGTAAAAACCCGTGGACACGGTAACATGACGATTCTTTAGGTACCCACTTTTATGGGTCTAAGGTTTACCGTTATCGCGGAGTTTGAGTGACTTTCTCAGTACCCTGGATTCTTGAAATTCAAATTTCCCGGCAAAGTAAAAAGTAAAATTTTCCTTGTTTTGGGTCATTAAGTGCTTATAACTTTTTGAAAACTCAATGGATCTTATTGAAACTCTTCCACTTTGTAGTCCTAATTGAGATGCGTCCGTAGACACCAAGATCGTAGGAATCCGTGCCGTCGTTTGGGCTGCAGTCGAATGGCAACCGAATCAATTTTCAAGTTAAGGGAGTTGCCTGTGACTAAGAGTGTCGGCCACCCGTTTGTTATCGGGACTTTAGTAGGACGTCATTTTCCTCGACCGGGGGTGGCTACCGCCACTCTTGATCAAAATAGCAACTGGGTAAGCGTGAATTTCGCGCCGGGATTCGTAACAGTGTATGGTGAGATAAAAAAACAATGCCAAATTTTCGATGCACGTCATTGAAATGTTTTCTTTTAGCAGCTACATTGCCATATATCAAAATTCTCACATTTTTTCTCGATTCTAGGAACGGCTGGGCCAGTCGATAGACACTAACGGCACGCAGCGAATTGAAACAGCCATGCACCTTCTACCAAATGAGTTCAACAAAACATTTGTCATGAGATCGCTCCAGGCCATTTTGAGGAGTTTGCAGTTCGCTCGGAGCCTCTCAACTTGCAGTATTTGTCCGGAGAGTAGTTTAGTTCTAATTGAAGTCAGTAAATTCTGCAGACTAACCACTGACGATGTAGAGGAGGTACGTTGACCATTGCTGGAGACAGTTAAAATTCATAACTTTGTGTTTTAGGGAAAGCAGATTAAATGCACTTAATTACATTTAATCTTAGGAAGAGGATAATCGCAAAACTTTATAAAATTTAAGTTTTATAAGAACAGTCAGAGCAATGGGTCACTAAACCATGAACGAATTTTGACTTGCGAATATAGTTTTCTGAAGGAAAATAACGCGTAGAACACAATGCACACATTAAAAACGCGGACAAGTAACTCAATAACCGAGAAATGCGCAGTTCAAATCGCTGAACTTATACGCAAATTTAAAACGCCCCGGTTTCGCGCCGCGCCGAATGATGTCATCCGGCACCAATCAGATGCGGGCACGGGTTTCCACTACTTCCGTCAATAATGTCTATCTACTCTTCGTATATGAAAACAAAACTAAAGTCGAAATTATATCTTTTGAATTCAAGACTTGAATCTCATTCATATGTTAGCTGTAATAAACGAGCAACAATTCCATATTGAAACACGTTTTATTTTAACAAACATCAAAGGGAAATGAGAGAAGATTGCGATATGACTACCGCAGTGCGTCAACACCGTCAGTTTCCCGCCATTCGGGTGCGTTTGAAATGTCTTGCAGTTTTTAGATTTTTCAAAAGCGGGTTTCTCCGCGATTTCGGCTCCATAAAAATGCGAAAAAATCACCACGTTATCTACTCATATTGTACCTTCAGAATATTCAATAAAATAACCAAGGTTTAGTGACCCATTATTGCCCATGACCATGATGACTTCGGTGATTTGACTTGTGTATGAATTGGTTAGACAGAGAGTTGCCTATAGGCAATGGTGTAGACAAAGGTAAATACATAAATATGAATAAATAAATACATAAATAAATGAATAAATGGATAGATAGATAAGAAAATAAATAAATAAATAGATAAATAGATAGATGGTTATAGGGCGTTTCGTCAACAATTTATTGTCCGCACACCTGTTTTTTCCAGTAATTTACGTCCACGCGTTTTTTCGGCACGGGAGTTTTGGTCCACGTGTCAGTTGAGAACCAAAGTCAATTGGCCCACATGTAAATACAAACGACAATTGCTTACGACGTCTTTGGATGAAAATGTATAATGTCTTGGAAGAATGAGGGCTTGCTTTTTTGTTTTGTCTGTTTGGTCCAACGGAGAATAATATATAGTTGAGAGTTTTGGTAAAAATGGGGGAGCGTCAATTCCATGAGACAAAATTCACTAAAACTCTCTACACCTTTTCGGTGCAACAGGACTTGATTATCTTTCAAGAAATTCCCATCCTCTTGTACCTGAACCGGATAAACCTCCATATTTGCCTCAGCTAAAGGAAAGGCTCTTAGCTATTTCCTTTGTACGATAAGTATCTTGATTTATTTTGCGAGGAAAGATCTGTACTTTTAAAGGACTGTTTTAAAAAACTGTCATTCTTCATACGTTCAATTTCGTATAATACTGTGCACCTCTGTTGTGAAATAGTTGCTTCAGGCGCCGCCGCACGGCGGGCGGACAGCCAGCGCATTAGCGCCTACAAACCTAAGTGGATACTTCTAACATTGTGCAATGCGTGAAGTATCCACTTAGGTTTGTAGGCGCCAGTGAGCCTCTCGCGCTGACAGCACGCCGCGCCGATGCTCAAATCAAGTGCAACTTCAAGTGCTCCGTCCTATATTCGGCATGCTTTTCCATGGCGTTTAATTCCGTTTGGCAGAACGCGCTATCCAGGATTCTAAAATCCTCAAAAGGAACTCAATTTGGCGATTAGTTCCGTTTAACAGAAATACGTCCAATTTACCCTATTCTATGTTTTGAACTCAATCTGACATTTTCATGGTTATTTCAACAGATTTCAAAAAATACTCAATTGGTCAAAATCGATTGTGAGAACTACAAGGAAATGCTTTCACACGTGCGGCTTTCGTCATTGATTGCAGAGGAGGCACCGTTTTCTTGGGGACGCAAATTGCTTACTCAATCATAACCGTAACATCAGCTAAATGGATTCAATTATGCAAAATATAACTTCATAAAAATGATTGAAGTGAAATTCTATGTGTATAAACCCTTTTGATTTAATTGACAGATACACAGTTCCCTTCAAATTATTCGAATCATTCAAATGAACCAGTTGCGTTTTATGAAAACTTCCTTTTAATGGATCATAACTCTTCGTTCGAAAATATAAAATAGGCTCAAGATTGGCACCATGTCTTACACCTAGTGATGAATGAATATGTATATTTTGTATTAAGAGATAATTTTGTAAATGCATAGCCGTTTAAGATGTAACTGAGATTAAATTTTGAACATGTTTTCTACATTGATTACAATTCAAAGAAAAATAAATAATTAATTGTTGTTTTTTCTTTCCAGCAAGTTTATTCATTCTGCAATCAACGAGTAAATATCTAGAAATGCACCCAGGTCTTACATTATTGATACCAAATAACAGGCATATTTGTTAAACTTGATTTTTTTACCTGTCAATATTTTGCCACCTAATAAGATAACATCTTCTTATTTAAGAATCCAGACCACGTGTTTTTAATTATTTACTTAGGTTACCAATTTGCTCTCATACAAGTTCCAAGTAGAAAAGCGTGTAAAACATTCCTCAACTCAAATCACAGCCGAACTAGCGTTTTCAACATTAGCTTTTCAAACGTTCCGCTCTTTTTTAAATCGAAGTATTTACTTCCGTCAAAGTGGTCACAAGATTAATTTCAGAGTTGCAAATCATGCGCGCAAGGAGCGTACAGAGAGGACTTAAAGATGCCTGAGAGGACTAGTTCACGGTTTGAAAATGAGGTATACCTACAACATGAAAATTCTGGAGAGATTTTATCAAGTTATCAAGTTATTGTAGCAAATGAACTCTCGGCATAGCGGGGGAAAACTTTGAGAGGTTTTTGTGAGCTTAAATGTTTTTTTTTTTTTTTCAGAGGATACCAGTGGCACCATCGTTTGCTCGCAAAGTTCACTAAAAAAAGTGCTTGCATAGCAAATCCTGATGCCTGCAAGAGCTCCACTGCATATTGCGACTTGGTTTCCTGACATATCGACGGTGAAACTACCAAACCACGTATCTTGGTTTGCGACGTCACAGACTTCCTGTCATACTTTATTTTTTAAATGAAAAACTACTTAACGTCCAGTCTTGAAAATTTCTGTGACTTTTCCTCTTTGTGCGGAGAAAATTCCGTGAAAATTTCAAGGAATTATATTGATTTGGTCTTCTTCAAAAAAATAAAATGTGAGCGTAGATTTTTAAACTCCGCAAACGAGATACGTGGTTTGGTAGTTTCACCGTCGATATTTTACTGTTTAATGATATTGGGTCAGTTGCGCTGGTCACAGAATCATGTTTTGATACTTAATACTTGTAGATTAGCTATAAATAATGAGATCTGTCCAAACCGCAACTTTCTACATTCAATATTAACCGAGATATCGCCCTTTGAAATGTTGGGTTTTCGACGTCATCCACCGCGGTAGTGACATCTGTGGTTTCTTCCGCCTTGCTTTCATCAGTCAGTGACGCACTGGTTGCTCAACGTGAAGCTTGGATGAAAGCAAGGTGGAAGAACCGAGGGTTTCACTACAGCGGTGGATGACGTCAAAAACTCGTCTTTTCAAAGGGCGATATTTCGGTTAATATTAAACGTAGAAAAATGCCGTTTGAACGGATTTTATTATTTTTAGCTAATTTACGAGAATCAAGCATCAAAAGACGATTCTGTGACCAGCGCGACTGACCTAGTGACTATTTATTGCACGATGTTTATGCGATTTTGATCTATTTGCTCAAAAACGTACTTTAAAAGATACGTAGTCACTGATATGCTAGAATAGATTCTGCTGTTGATGAAATTGCTGTCCTCAAATTCTTAAATTATGCTACCGTTAAGCGGTTCTCTGACCGTGGCTGCACTCGTCAAAGGTTTGGTTACGTAATGATTATCAAAAAGCAGGTCTCTCCATCACAAGCACAGGCGCGTGTTTGAAGAGAGCTCGCGCACTCCATTCTTTTTATGGTAATTTGGATCAGAATATGAGTGGAAAATATTCAAAGGAGAATTTAAAAAAGTCATTGCTATCGACAGACGAATCGGCCCACAAGGTGTCCAAAAAGTCTTTGACTTCTCTAACTTTTGATTGCACGCACCAGGCAAAATAAAATCTGGTACGCACTCACGAAGGGCGCACCTAAACCCTCTAGGGCATAAATTAATTTTGGATCTCAGATTCTGGGGGACACTAATCTATTTTGTAGCTTGCATCAAAAACACTCTGCCGTGCTAACGAAAAACGCTGTATGAACCTTCAGGCGTTGCCAAACTGCCTCTGATAAAACACGAATTCCCTGGTAAACTCACGAATATATTTCTTCCAATTTTTCAGAGAGTTTTGTTCGAATCTTGATCTAAAGTTCCTGAAAATTTCAAGGAAAAATATACATAATTTTCCTCAAGAATAGGAATTTTATCAAAGGAAATTTGACAACTCTCGAATGTTCATACGGCGTTTTTCCTTAATATGGCAGCATAGTGCACCAATTTTTTCAATTTTTTTTAGCGAATCAGTTATTTAAAAAAGAAAAAAACTAATACAAATTTGCAAAATTATGCCACAGAGAAAATATTACATTTTTAAAAACCCCAAAAATGCGTGCTACGAATTCGTAACGATATGGCATAGAGGGTTAAGTCAAAATTTTCATATTCCCCCTCCTCTTTGTGATATATCGTTGTAACAATGCTGAAATGGAATGTTGTTGACCCTGACCGGAGATTGCTACTACTTTTTCACTCGCATCATCGTTGATTGTAGTTAAACATGCCTCTATTTCCAAAATATCAAAATATCTCTATATTCCAAAATATATCACAACACCTTTATGAATATCATATATATCATTTTCAAATTCTCGTGTCGTTAAAAAAAATTCGGAGAAAACAAGACAATGGTGCAAACGTATTAGCATTTTATGTAATTTCAGGGGGTGATAGTCCAAGTTTCATCGATCTTCACCGCCAGTGATTTTAGCAAGCCCGCTTGCCCTTAATATAAACTACGACAGACCCAAAGGCGCTGAATGTGAACACATTTAATATATTTAAGGAGGTATTCACTTTCAGGAGATACCGTGAATCATTTGAACTTCATTTTGCAATTAGAAACCAAAATTTCTTGCTCATCCGTAATAACACGTATGTGTATAGGGAAACCGTTATAGTACATACGTTGTTTCTAGACTGAGTAAAAAATTGTAGTTTCTAATTATTAAATGAAGTCTATTTTTGGTGCCGATCAATAATCTTTAGACAATTAAATTATGAAAGGACTTATTTCTGTTGAAAGTTTACTATGTTTGTACTAGACCACTTTATACCTCTGAGGTTTACAGCCTTTTTGACTACCTGAACAAAACTTAGGATAATTTCAAAATGACCATTTTGAACCTAGTTTGAGAATAGCTTAATCATAACAAATTATTTGCCAGTTTGGGCCCAAATTTCTCTCTTTGCTTACCTTTCCAAGAATGTGGCCCATAGGAAGGGAATAATCGATGAATACTTTAACTTTAAAGGCACCTCTCACGAATAGGGCACCTCCTCAACATTTTGATCGTGCTACAAAGTAGATCTCATTGACCTGGGGACATCTCCAAAAGTTTGTTTTGATATTTGCATGCGTTAAATATCAGAGGAGGGGGGAGTCAGAGACTTTTTAGACATCCTGTATCAATGCATACCAAGCGCCGCTTAAAACCAAACATTTTGCATGTCATTTAAATTATTCCCCGGTGGCCAAAGCTCTTTTTCATTCGACCCAGTAATTGAAGGAGACTGAGTCAATTTTGGGTTTTGACCACTCGCGGTCAGTTTTTCACAAGGGCCATGACGCGCGCACTCCAAAATGGATAAAAGAAATCCCACCAAGAGAAAGTGTGTTGACAACACCGTAATTCAAACGGCTCCATCTGTGATGCACAATTTTTTTTTCTTTCTTTTTTTTTTGAACGATGATATAATTTTGCGGAGCATTCGCGTGACATTAATTACGCAACGCGCTATTATCTGATATTTAAACCTATTTTCCTTTACGAAACATCTAAATCACGGAGGGCCTACTCAGGCTCGCCACATCCCATCTCGGACCCTGGGACCAGATTTAAGGTCCGGGCCCTAAGCACGGAGGGGGGGGGGTCCGAGGGGCGTCCCTCAAGAATTTTAGAATTTATACGACTAATTGGACGCATTTTGAAGCCTCCATAAAGAATTTTTCCATCAATTTCTGCGGAATAATTATGTTTTTTTTATTGTTATATATATATATATATATATATATATATATATATATATATATATATATA